CCTGTAAATACAAATTGGGGTGATCCCTGTGCATCCTTACTCTGCCCTGTGCTCTGACATGCAGCACTTTTAAAGCTGTCTCTGTGTGCCAAGGCTGAAACAATACCGATAGGCTTAGTATGTATTCTGTGTATTAAGTGGAGTGAAACAGTAACAATTAAATGCCAACACCTACATAACTTAGGGAGATTAATTTGATAAAATATCATTGGTGGTAAAAGTTGAACAGTTGAACACTTCTGACCAGTTTGGTAGATGTTCAATGATTCTGCTTGGAATCATGAGTAAGAAGAGGCACTGAGGTTAAAAAATCATTGGTAGCAAAAGCTGGTGAGCTAGGTGTTGGTTTTGGGTGGAGAAATGTACAAGAAGGAAGGATAACACATTCCAGGTGCCTTCATGAGAGTGAGGGGCAGAACCATGGGTTTTCCTTTTCTTACTTTACACAGCCAAGACAGTTACCAACTTCATAATTAAATTTGGATTTCTAGAAAACAGTAAAAATAAATGAAAATTACTGCAAGCTAAGATCTGCAAAGATTTGACTGTAACTTTACAGGAGCAGAATTGATGAATACTCCCTCCAGTTGTGAATTAGGTTGCTGTTTTCAGAATTAGTGTTGACTTTTAGACTAGGAGATTGGAATAGAGAACATATGTCCATATGCTAACTTGAGCTCTATAATGCTGTTTCTTCAGGCAATTGGTGCAACTTTTGCAGCCATGATTGGTGCTGGAATGTTGGTCAGGACCATATCCTATGAACATAATCCCATAGCTAAACATGCAGCATGGATGATGCATTCAGGTATGTGGTTTTAGTGTTTGTTGTAGAGATGTCTGTGTTTCTGTGACTAGATGCTTACTTTAACAAAACTCCAGCGTTAAAGTTAATTTTTATATGCTGCTCGAGGGAAGCTGAGATTTATCAGAGATCAGTGAGAACTTCTGAATGTCAGGGAAAGGTGTCTTAAGTGTCCTTAACAGAACTCTAATTTTTTTCATAGTCTTCTGAAAATCATGCTCAAGTTCAGGTATATATACTCCACACTGAAAATAGAATTAGATGGTTTCATGGCTGTTTTGGTTTTGTGACTGCTTTCTAACACTACCACTTCTGTAAGTGCTCTTGCCTACACTAACCATTCTTCAGCTGTGCAGGATAGGAGATATTTGAAACCTGACTAGAAAAAAAAGGGATTTTAGTATTAGTTTACTTTTGATCTGTACTCAGAGCTAAAATACCAGATGGACACATCTCAATTTCTCACTAATGATATCTACTTCAAATAACAATGGCTCTCATTTTTCAAAACTGTTTTGATAGAAATATTTCGTAGTTCAGAAAAGGCATGTGACTGTTGGGCACTGGAATCATATTTGCCTCTCCAGAGCTAGCATGTCTGCCAAGAAGAAATGTTTATTGCAGTGATTATTGTTAAGAGAAACAACCTAATGAGATATTAATGGGCTAGATACACATTTCCTACAAGCCTCTAGCAAAAAAAAATCTGACTTACTTGCCTAACTAATTGTTGTATCAGAAATCTGTCCTGCTTTTCAGTGTTGCATGCTCCTAATGCTATTATGTAGTTGATAAGTCCACGTTAAATATCTCTTCTTACCAGCTCTGTTATGAACCAGTCAGTATGTTGGCTTTTGTTAGTTTTTTTTTTCCCCAAGATAAACTCCCTGATGTATTCTAGTGCTAAATAAAAGTACATAATGATATATTTATATATATAATAAGGTTGATAATTTATTGTGCTTCCTTCTAGATAAAAGCACAATCAAGTGCATTGGTGTTTTGTTGTGCGTGGATTAGTTTGAGCCATGCTGTCTGGCTGGAGACGAAAACCAAGTGGGTTTGGCATGTGGTGTTCCAAGTCTTACCTGTGTTCTGTTTTGCTTTGCCTAGGTGTCATGGGTGCAGTGGTGGCTCCTCTGGCCTTCCTTGGTGGTCCTCTGCTGATCAGAGCTGCCTGGTACACTGCTGGAATCGTTGGGGGGCTCTCAACTGTGGCCATGTGTGCTCCGAGTGAAAAATTCCTGAACATGGGAGGACCGCTTGGCATAGGCTTAGGCTTTGTTATTGCTTCTTCAATTGGTAAGATACTGCTTCAGTACTGTCATAAAAAGTAGATTATGAACTTAAGCTACTAAGGTGCAGCTCACAGTTGCAGGCTGGTCTGCCCAGTGAAGATTTGCCTTGAATATAGCCCTTGCAATGCTGGCACAGCAGAAAATACTCCATCACATTTGTTCTTGAAAAAGAACATGAAATTATGGTTCTGGAAGATTACTAGTTGACAAACAGCTGATAGGGGTACCTTATATTTTAGATACTGCAATGAGTAGGGAAGGCAGTAAATGTGATCTTAATTCTTGATCCAGTTGTTTTCCTTCATGCGTTTTAGTCATTGTTGTAGTCATAGGTACTTTCAGCTGAAGAAAACTGCACAATTCCCCAGGGTGTTCAAAATTAATAGATCAGGTTGTATATGTGACATCTTCAGTGTGCATGCTAAAGCCCTTAGTATCAAACACACACCACAAACTGAGAATTGAACACTTACTGGAAGATGTGTGCTCCAGTGACTGGAGTTTGACCTAACTTGGAGTAGCACATACACGGAGTTACCTTTAACACCCTTGTACGTTCCTCTCCAGGATCCATGTTCTTGCCTCCCACCTCTGCTTTTGGCGCCGGCCTGTACTCGGTGGCAGTCTATGGTGGCCTGGTGCTCTTTGGCATGTTCCTGCTCTATGATACACAGCTGGTGGTCAAGCGGGCTGAAACCCTGCCTGTCTACGGAGTGGCTAAATACGACCCCATCAACGCGTGAGTGTTCTCTGTTACCTCAGCTGATCTCAGTGTCTGCCTATGAATTTGCCTCAAGTTAGATTGAAGTATGCTTTGAAAATAGTCTTTTCTTTATTGTTCAAAAGCGTATTGCTGTTAAATGTGAAGAATCACAGGGTTTGAAAACAACAGTAAGAAAATAGCTACAGAAGTTAAAACTGAAATCATTGTGAGAAACAGAATTGAGCATCTGATGTCACATACCTCCAGCAATATATTCTAAAATGTATTTTTGTTTTCTAAAGCATTGCTGGGAGAATTTATACCTGCTTTCTGAAAAAAACTGTCAGTATCAGTTGAGACAAAAAAAGTTAATCTTCCATAGTCATTTAATATTTATTATTCTTTGTCACTAAAAAAGCTGAAATGGTGTGATAGGGAATGAAGGATTGACTCTTCAGCAAAGACCAAGTTTTGACTAACAAGTAACTTGTAAATGTCTGTCTGATGCTAGGTGAATTCTTATCTCTGGTTCTCTTGTATTTTAATTAGATTAATACTGGTCTTCTTGAAAATTCTTGGAGATAAACAGGTCAAAGTTCAGTATAAAAGCAGAGGCTCCTGTATGAGAGCAGTGTACTGTCTGTTAGGATTTCTGTAAATAGTTCTCGCTGGCAGAGGTGGTAGAACAAAACCACGGGTGTTCTTTGACAACAAAGCACTGAGGGCAGTTATAGCTGGTTCAGTTATGCAGGCTCTTAAAATGAAGTATAATGTGTGAAACACCAAATAATTCTGTGTCTGTTCAACAGTAATAACTGTGATTTCTTGTTTCCTAGATGCCTGGGTATCTACACTGATACACTGAACATCTTCATTCGGGTGGTCACCATGCTTGCAGGTGGTGGAGGTGGCAGGAAAAAGTAAACAGAGACTCACCTTTGCAACTGGCTGACAGCCTACCTAGTGCACATATTAAATAAACATTCATAATTAAAGCAGTAATGCTCCAAGTGAGAGTTTTAAAGCATTTCAGCATATTGGTCCAGTGCAATGTGATTCAGTCTTAGTTTTTCTTCAAACACTTTCCAGCTGTGTGTTTACAATAGTCTGAACTGCTTCTTGTAATTGTACATTATTTTGGAAAAGTAAATTATTTTTAATATATGAATAAAATAGTCCTACCTGCTTTTTAGGGGGTTTGATGGCAGTTCAACTCTTACTTTTTTTTTAAACCATTGTTACATAGTAAAGGAAGTAATTTTTGAACTGGTATCCCATAGGCAGATAGGGATACAAATGACTTCATGAGATGCTGCTTAGATGCATCAACTTTCTGTTAAGTTTCATAAGTTTTATTTTAGTGGCATCTTCTGAAGAACTGAATAAATTGCATATGGCCCTGAATGCAATCATGACTTTGACCTGGGCAGAAATTTCAGAAAAGTTTAAGCAGGATTTGACAGGTTAGATGACCAAAAAGTGTAAAGGAGACAAGTTATGGAAACTGTGCACTATTTGTCCCATATGAACTTCAGTCTCCTTCTGGAGTACACATGAGAATTCCTTGCTTTAATGTTGACTGGCTATAATAGCTAGCTTATTTTGCTACTAGATTTATAAAACTGTTGAATAGCAGTGTAGCTCTGTCTTTCTTCTGGTGGCTGAATTCCTGCGCTGCATATGAAGGTCTGTCCAGAAGAGCTCTTAGTGATCATCTCTTGGAAGCTTGTACAATTGGCACAGAAACTGGGAATTCAGGATGGCATGCTGTAAACCCCAGGATCATAAATTTGCCATACTGTTGTGTGGTTTAGTCTGTTTAACTCTTCTCCAAATTGATATGTTAAATGTGGTCTAAAAGAAATGTTTCCTAACAGTGAAATTGATTTAACAGTAAGAAATTTATACTTTCCAGACTCTATTTCTATATGTTGGAATAAAAGGGGAGTTCTTGGGCCATGAAAATTTTGACCTAATGTCAGCAGCTCATATTTTCAATTTCTGGCAAATATGTTTATGTATTGATCTATGAACAATAAAATTCTGGCCTCACAAGTTGACTACTCTCACTTTTCCCCATGTTAACAGAAATTTTTTAGTACCCCTGCACTAACAGCTTGGGGAAGAGTACTATAAATATTTTTTTTTTTTGTTATGGTTACCATTTCCTTTGTAAAAGAGTACATATTCCTCTGTAAAAAAATCTGCAAAATGATTCTCAGTTTCACTGGCTAGCACCTTTTTGAGGGTGTTTCCCAGTTGGAAGATACTGGCTACACTTGAAGTGATTCTGTTGGTGTCACCTTTTGGCCACTTATTGCAGCCAGTGCTGCTTTTATGTCTGTCACACACTGTAGTATTTTTTAACTCTTCAAACAGAGGGAAGAAAGAGTGGATTGTGAAGAACCTTGTTGCAGCTCCTTTGTGCCAAAGATTGTAAGGCACAATCTAGTTCTTGGCACTATTACAGCTGGAGAGACATCTGTGGTTCTGAGAAGGAAGAAATCTTTGGATCAAAATCAGTTGTAAGTAGCCTGTTCAGAGAGTTTTATCTTTTTAAGCAATATGATACCCTTAATTTCTTCTACTGTAGCCAAAAACAGCACTGTGCTTGTTCTCAAAATCTGAAAGGTACAGGGAGCTGTCTTAAAATCCTGACATTTGTTCTTGTTAGAAAAGAAAGTTAAGGCAAAAGACCTTTTGTCTAGATTGTGAGGCTGAAGTTTTAGAGCTTGACTATAACCCAAGGGAGGGATTCTGGACTGTTTGGAATAGTGAGATGTAGAAACCAACACACTGCTTACAGGAGGTATTCACATGGAAAGTGAGGTCAAGAGGAAATGTAATAACCTTTTCAGAAATAGTGCCTGTAGAAACATGAGTATCACTTGTACTTAGTCTTGTGGAAAGCTGTGACTTGGCTTCTGTGGATGACATCACAGCACTAGCAGTATTTTCCTAGTGTTTGTCTCCAAAAGAAGAAAAAAAAAAATTGAGTTGTTCCTTTACATTTGAAGTCTTAAGTCAAAAAGTAAGATGTATCTTAATTAAGACAGGTCTGATTTGCTGGGAGATGGAAATCTAAAGCCAGCACTACCATCAGTGACTCCTGGCAGACCGACTTCTGATGGTGAAACTCTGAGATTTTTTTCAGATCCGGGGATGATTCATCAATACGTAAATTGAGTTTGCCTAAAAATTACCCGCCTTCTACGGTAATTAGTTACTACGTGTGCCAGAGGACATTAAGGACATAAATACTGTTGTTTACTCCACAATTAAATTAAATTCTGATCTTTACTACTGATTATAACTGGTTTCTATGCATTTTTATGATGTTTCAAGTAATTCTTTTAAATTATTATCTAAATGAGCAGCTACATAATATTTAATTATTTATTTCTATTTTATCAAGAATATAAACCAATTATTTTCCTAAGAAAATGTTCTTCACTGTCACCTAGTATAATTAAGAAGGCCAAGTCCAACTGACACACATATTTTAAGTTTGTGTAGCAGAATGCAACATAAAATTTAGATCTCACCTAATGAAATTATTTAATGTAATTAGCTGTGCAATTATCATCCAGATTTCCCCACCTCTAATGCTGCTAAAAGCTGTCAGGTAATACACACTTACCCTCATGACCTTTACAACTGACCTTTATAATAGTTTGCCTGTAACACAGTAACGAGGTGTGCCTCCTGTCTTGATGTAACTTGAATTGCTTCCAAGACAAAGATTATTCTGTCATATTCCTGCTGTCATTTAAGAATAGAACATTTTTAACTCTTCAATACTTGAAAATACTTTAGGAATACAGCATAATTTTGATTGAACTTCAGTTTATAGCAAACTTGGAATTTAGAAATTGTTGCCATAAGTTCACTTCAAATATTGAAACAGACCCTCGGGAAATAAAAAGGGAATGCATTTAAATAACCCCTCAACAGAGTATTTTAAGTAAGAACTGGATTTTTATTTCAATATTCAACCATCTCAGTGACCTTTAGACATCATAAGAAGGAGAGATGGGGAAAGCAGGACAGGCTCTTGCAACGCAGGAACCCATCCATCAGTCTGTGGCAGCTGGGGTGGGGGCGGCTGTTCGGGCTTGGCACAGGGGCAGCTGCTACAAAGGCACGTTACTTGTGGCACAGGGTGTGACATCAGGCTCTAGCCCAGCCTTCCCCCATCTGTGGTTTTTCCAAATGCCACACAGAACTGGCAAAGACAAACCCAAACATGTCTGAGAGTTATGGCTTTTAGATCTAACCACCTCTCCTCTGCCAGTGATGAATAGGAGTATGTCCAGAAAATACTGTCTTTGCTAATTCCTTCACTCAGTTTTGGCACTGGTGTGTGCCTGCAGACATCATTAAGCTTCTGAGCAAATCCTTAGTACTGCTCTAAGGCATTTCTTTTATGAGCTTGGGCACAGGAGCTAAACCTTTACTGCAGTATAGTGATGTTTGTTTTTCCTTTTATGAATGATCATTATGTACTACATTATGTAGTACATAATTACATTTTGTATTCTTGCTAGTGAAGAACACCAGAAAGAATTACTGAAGCTTTTTTTAAATTATAACCATTTCCTTTAAAGAAAAAGCATGACATCACATTCTTGTAATGTGGGTCAACAAAAATTGAAGTGGGATAGGGAAGGTAATGAAAAGCTTCTAACCACTATCAGAGAAAAAATTTAATCTAAATTTTTACTGGAAAGGCCAAGATTAAGTTTAGCTGCCAAGAAAAACTTTACATGTTTATAACTTGCAAAATGATCTGCATATCTATGGAAGTACCAGTCTTCTTCCTGGACACTAATTCAGCACCACTGCAGTGGTGAGATAGCAGAGGCATGGTAATGTACATATATCAAGGTGATGGCCTTGGAGTTACAGGTCTTCCTTTACTGCCTGCAAGTGTAAAATCACTGCATCATCCCACCTAGACTGGCCATGAGATGTTGCACATCTACTGAGCCTACCAACTCAGCTTATTCCTGACTGTTGAGATGTCCATTCAGAGATAAAGATCTTTTTTCCTCCCTAAGCAGTGCAATACATCTTCATGCATCACCATATTTTTTAAGAAAAACGATGCTACAAGTTTAAAAACCCCAACAATCTGGAAAACCAAACAGAAATTGCATGTCTTGTAGCACTACATTTCTTAAGTACTTCTGAAGAACTTACAGGCACAAGAGCCACTGATCAGATTCCGCTTCCTGCCCAAGACAATCTTAAGAAAACAAAATTCCATGTGTTTACAAATTATATTTGAGTCTCAAGGGGATGAGAAGAATTACTAGCTAAGCTGAAGTGCACAAATCTTATGTCTCATATACAGATGGATTAATTCTTGGGTTCTTAAAAGTTGCAGCAGAGTTCTCCTGTCCCATCAAACTTTAACCTGAAAGTAAAGCCATTCCTGCTGAAGCCTTTTTTCTTTTACTGCTTCCTAGCCACATAAATGCTTTGGTGGACAGACTGTGTTCAATGCATTAATATGGCGCCCAGTAAACTGGATTATGGGATTTTAGCAAGCTGACAGTAAATCAACAATGGAATGTTCTCAAATGTCTCTCTGTCAGATGTGAAGAAAAGTTGAAATTCATAGCATTATAGAAATGGAAAGATCTTTAACCTCTAAATTCCTTAGTTCAAGTTCGGGACTTTATTACCAGCTAGTTTTGTTTGTATAAAATGATTAGCCTATCTACAATATACAGAATAACCAGAAAGAAGTGATAGTGGCCAAGTAACATCATCAGGACCAAACACTGTTATCTCTGCAACCACCTCCTATCAGATAGCAGAGACAGGGCTTATTCACGTCTTTAAGAAAGAGATTAATACGCAGAACAAGCTCAAAATCTTTCCAAAAGCCTAAGGGCTGACATCTGCACAGCATTTTCTATTTTGGAGGCTTGCCAGCTGAAGTAAACACCTTACCTATTCAGGAGAAAGAAGAGTGAGATGCCTGCCCAGACATCCTTCATTGTGCCACTTCACTTGCTCTTACCAAGTTTTCTGGAGCTAAGCACTGGGCAGCCAGACTAGTTACTTTGTACAGAACACCAGATCGACTTCATATTCTTCTATCATCTTTCTGAAAAACAAAATGCTGAGTGAAACAAGGACGAATCCTTTAGAGCCATGGTAAGTGGCAAGAGAGATAATCTTCCCTGCTTAGGTGCCTGCTTTTTCCCTACTTAAGGGGGGAAGTAACATGCAGTGGGAACAGATCTGCCTCCATAATGAGAAGGTTACACAGCTCCTCTCACCACCTGTCATGGAAGTGCAAGCTCTGGCAGATTACCTGTCAAAAACATCCTCTTAAATCACATCTTGCCTGAACTAGAAGACTGGGCTACCACAAAGAAATGTTTCCATCACACCTAGCACACTGAACACTGCACCCAATGTAAATTTTTCTGGCCTGAACCCAGATTGCTGTTTAGAAGCCTACAGCAATCAGATAAACCACATCTAAGGTTTGAAAAACTAGAGAGAGAACACATTAACTAAGCAGGGGGTAGGGGAAAACATCTGTTTTTTCAAGTTTCCCAGCAGGAGGAAAGTTAAAATCAAGCAAAATAGAAACAGCTGCAAGTTCCATTTTAGTAGAACTAGGACAGTGACCTATGAAGAGAAAGGAGTGAACACACAGAGCCTGGACACTCTGAACAGCACACAGATTGACAGACACTCCAGCTGGCAGCTCTGCAGAGGCTTTACTTGCAGGCACAATGAGTGGCAGGACACTCATTGAAAAAGCTGTGTCAAAGATGCTTTAAACCCTGTTCCAGGACAGTCTTCAAAGTGTTTATCAGCTCACCATAAACTGCTAGGAGAAATTATAACTTCAGTCTTGCTCTTCATTCTGATCTTCGTTAGTATAGTTAGTCTACCCCCCACATGTTGTCATTACTGCTTCTCATATAGTGACTGCTACTGCAGCCTTCAGTTTCTACACTGTTCCCTCCTTCAAAAACAGAGCAGCACATGCTCCTGGATAACTGTGTTGGTTCACCATAAGTGGTCTACCTTGAATTAAATTAATTTTGTACTCTTAAAGTTCTTAATGTTTCCTGCCTTTTCACAGCTCAAAAGTTAGTTTCTTTTAGCTCTAAATTTATGACCGTTTGCTCTTCGTTATTCTCCTCACATCACAAACAGCTGTTCAACCTGGTTAGAAGAAATTTTCATATACAAGATGCAGATTCTTCTAAGAATGGCATGACCTTTAAAAAATATTAGTGAAATCTTATTAACATACCACTTCCAGAAATAATGACTCTGAAGACTGGAAATCCAAGAGTTTCGGCAAGCACAAAAGGAGACTCTGGCTCATGCCTTAATTTAACGTTAAGAAATCAAACTATTTTCTTTAAGATTTTGAGAGACATCCTATGTGGCTTTTGAATACCAGGTATTAATGTAAACATAATGCAAATCTCAGGATGCATCCCTTATTTCCCTGGATGACTCAAAAATACCTCTGCATTCAATTTTAAACTTTTTTCAACTGGAAAGATGTACATCAGCTGCTGCTTATTTCATAAAATTGATGTCCTACAGAAGACTATCATACAGATGCCTCAAACTTCCAGCTGACAGATCCTAAGGACACAGGTTATCAGGCTATTTAGCAATCTGTGTTTTTATTCCATCTTCTTTCTCCAGCCACTCCCTTGATACAATTCTGTCTCATTATTTTATATAGTCTGCAACCTTATTTGGTAAAAATTTTTATCTCAGGGCAAGTCTAAAGATTATGCTAAGTCATTGCTTCTAGTCTTCCCTTTTCAGTTTGCTTCACATTTCCTGTAACATTAGCATTTATAGAAGCATATGAAACAGGGCATTAAGAATTGCAGGGTTTAACCACAGCAATGATCAGCTTTTACAGCCTGAAATTTAAGAGATAAAGCACAGAAATTTCTTCTGAAAGTATTCAGTCTAGGAGGAAAAAATGTCTTCCTCAGCTATGTTTCTTCTCAAAACTGCTAAGCAAGATATAGTGCATGGACCCCAATACCTACTCAAAAGAATCTCAAGGTTTGCAACTAGACTTCTCAATTGCTGAAAATAAACAAATAAATTGCTTACGATATCCCCACCCCAGTAAGTTATATAGATAAATTTCATGCAGTATTTTAGTTTTAGAAAGTTTTCGGGTTTTCTGTTAGCATTCCTAGAGCAGCCTGACAGTAAGACAGCACAAAATCCTCAAACTGATGCTGCTCTTGAAAAAATGGGCGCTTGCTCTTGTTCCTACCAAACCCCTCTTGTTCCTACCAAACCCCTCTTGGGGCTTTTGGGTGTGCAATGATGACTGTACAGGTTTGCCTCATTTCTCTCATAGTAGCTGGAAGGCTTGGATTGCTGTAATAGAGACCAAGTAGCAGCCTGCCTCTTCCACACAGAAAACAAGTGGGGCATTCAGGTAGTACATGCTGTTTTCTTGCTTGAGGTGATTGATTATGTTACAGTACAGTGATGTATACTTTGAAAAACAAGTCTTTGTAAATACTTCTGTTGCCAATATTATGTTGTAAATATTTCAGAAGAAAAGTTTTGAGGTAGGTGTTGGCAGAACTTTTTGTTTAAAAGAGCATATTTGGAAATGTCAGTAGCCATCAGGTGATGAGGTTCTATTTTCAAAGTCATCTCCCATTTTACCTGGTTACTTTTCTGTATTCAGTTCTTATTTCTTATCATGCACACAGAAAGAGAAGGTAATCCTTCTAATTAAGGCTAAAAATACATAAACAATTATTTGGGTAGTAACCCCAGCTGGCAACGAAGCCCAACACAGCCATTCACTCACATTCCCCAGTACATGAGCTTGCCTGGAACTTTTTCAGAAAGTGTAATGGAGATAAAAGTCGCCAAGTGAAATCCTTGCTTCAGTGCTGCCACTACTCACACAGCCTGATTGAATGTTGCAGAAAAATTACATTCCTACCAACCCTTTCATGTGGTTTATTGACATTTTAGCTTTTCTGCAAACCTTTGTGAGTAAGCTGACAAGCTCCATTTTACATGCTCAGTTTATGTTGGGATTTATATGATTTGATTCAGATTTAACCAGCAAAAGTGTTGACTTTAAAAGTACAAAATGAGGACTCACGCCTATATGTTTCAATATTCAAAAGAAGCCTGAGATCATAACAATATTGTTGCTCTGTTGTCATTCGTCTTTCTCGGCATCCACTGAACTGTAGAAGTCCCTCCTGACATGCTCAGCAGGGATGTGAACTAGCAGCCTTACTGCAGGCTGAGCAAGGTGTGCCAGTGTGAGGCAGGGCTTTCATAAAGCACTTTGAAGGTAATACTGTCTTGTGGCACGATTTGTTAGTGATTGATTCTTGAACCTTGGTAATGCTGGCCTTGGCAAACAAAAAAGGCTGTCAGACGTTCACAATCTTCATCATGTATGGATATTGCTAGGTAAGACTGCAGAAATAAGCTTTTGGGGCTAAATTTGATAGATTAAGGGATTTGAAAGCCTGATGATGAATCGAAGAAACAAGCCAAATCCCAAACCTGTAATAGGAGACCTTTAAAATTTGGGCTGGGAGCAATATTTGTGCACAGGGTGAAGCCTTCTATCCTGCTGTGATTCCAATTCTGGGTGGCTTGCAGATACTGCTCCCACCTTTTAAGGCTACATAGCTTTTAACATATTCTGTTGTTAGAGACCCAAATCTTATCAGATTAAGCTGGGAGAATTGAATGTTCTCAAACCTGAACTTTTTACCTTTTTTAACAGACACAGCTCTATAGTTGATCCCTCCTTGAAGGACTTTTTTTTTTTTTAAGTACACTCTGTAAACCTTGATACTATGTTGAATTTGATGACTTCTAAATCTTAACTGTTAGCTGGAATCTTCACAACTTAATTATTCAGATATAACAGAAACTGAGATGTTGATAATAAACTCAGAAATCTGCTGCTTAACCAGCTGTCTTGTTAATTATGGTAACAACACACTGGCAATTGCTTTGATTAAAACACACTGGGTTTGGTTTGCCTTTTCAAGCCCCGATCAATGTCCATACAGATTCAGTTCTGCTGTGCTCTCTCCCTTTCCAAGTGTGCAGAGGAACACACCAGGTCCTCTGGAGAGGCTGCTGTGGAGCACAGGACAAGGATTCTGCCTCAGGACATCCCTTGTACTTTAATGCTACAAGCTCCTGTGTAACTGGTAAGGAGCTCTCTATGCTGCCTCAATCTGAGTAAATATCTTCTTGAAATAGGAAGTGTTGTTTCTTTTCATCTGTTGATGCAATACAGGTGCAATACAGAGGCCAAATCTCCACCCATTCTGAAGGCTCTATCATATAAAAAGCTGAGGTTGTGCTGAAGGAGACTGAGACACTCCTTCAGTCTCCTCTGGTGACTAGCTGGAAGGATGAAGCTCCTGGCCCTTTGTGGCTTTTTGTTGGTCTGTCTTCTGTGCCTTAATGTCATTGCTGTAGAAGGTACAGTATTATAGTCTTCTAACACAGCTTTCTCTTTTCCTGTTCTTTCCTTTTTTGATATAAAATGTTTAATTACTGTGTTGATTTTAATTAAAGGAAACAAACAGAGCTTGATGATGAAGAGGACTGAACTTAGAAAAGGCCTTAGACTTAGACTATCAGTGCTTTGGTTTGTACAGTAGTGTTTCTTCTGTTATTGCCTGTTGCACAGCATGATTAACTTTTACCTTAATCTGTGTTCTGAAAAATTTGCTCTTCTGAAAATACTTCCTGTTATATTTTCCCTGTAGATAACCAAACATCCACCAATGTAAAAAGTATAATTTTCTCAATAGTGGGAAATGTATTAATGGAAAAAGCTTCTACCCTTATGAAATAAGGGAACATGAATCAGGTTAACAGAGTATATGATAAGTTCTTTATAGAGGAGTGAAACAAATGAGAGTAACTCTTCTGACCTTCAGTCAGTCTAAACCTTTTTTTCCTTTTTCTGTTGGTTGGGTTTTTTTACCACTGATAATCCACACTTCATCCGCAGTACCTTGAGAGGCTTAGTTACCATTTTGCAGTATTAGCAAATTCACAAAGCAGTTAAAATCTTGAAAATAGAGGATTTTCCATCTGTCTGTAGCCACATCTCTGCAGATGTCATTGTGTATTTGCAGGACAGTTCAGTAGCATTTTTTAATTGAGAGGTGCAATCTAGAGTTACCTATACAGATTTGAGGTTTGAAGTTGTAAATCTCTGAGACTTGCCATGATTTTTAACAATGTGTATTTTATACAAGATTTAGAAAGTAAATGTGAGATAAAGAAAAACAACTAAGCTAAGTGTCCAAAGGTCAGGAACAGCAGATTTTCCATGCTTGATATTTTCTAGACACCTTCTAAGAATTGTTTTATGTGTAAATATGAGCAAGGAGAAACGGGTAGAAGCTGTTTTTCTAATTGGTCAAGTCAGCTTCCCAGTTTTCTCATTTACTGGTGTCTGTGCTGGTAGAGCTATTTGCCAGAGCAGTGGTACCTGAAGCCCTTCTGCTCCCTTTGCCTTTTTTACTTCTTTTTATTCAGGGTTTTTCCATGACCCTTGAGGAAAACTTTAGGAACAGTTAAAGGGGAGTTGGAGAATTTCTAGGTGTGGCCACATCAATAAAACACAAATTAATACCTGCCAGTTCCCCTAATAGTGTTTCCTTTTTGTTGATGTGCATGGTACTTTCATGAGTCAGAGGCTGGGGAGGAAACGTGCAAAGGACACTTCCTTATCTGTAAGCCTTGATGTCAAAGTGACAGTGTCCTGGTGTGCAAGATGAATGTACTTTGTATGCTAAACCTGTTATATCAGAACTAAATTGTGGTGATAAGATAGCTCATCACCAGCCTTGGCTGTATACTGTGCCTTAGTGATTTCTAGAAACATTGACCATATGTTAGATTTTGTTGATGAGGAAATCATCTGTCTCTGTCCTTTCTGCTCCATCCCAGCTCCAGAGTAAACCTTTTTTTTCCCCCCCTTTATTGTGACCAGCAATGTGGTCAACTGCAGTCAACAGCTCACTTACTTAGGTGCGGTGGGAGGGACTATTTCAGTGGCTTTGTCCACCAAAACAATTTATTCTACACTCCTATGCATCTGGACACAGAGCTGCTTTTTTTCCTGTTGGTAATTTTCTATATTTTCTCAAGGTGGTGTAACTATAATTGTTACACCTGCCAGTGTGACATTTTGAAGGATAAAGAAATCTTTACAATGTGTATCTGATGTATGTATGAGTAATGATGGAAAAGAGCAAGTAAATTCCTGTTCCACACTAGGGACAAAGCTGTGCAGAGATCTAAAAATCAGTCATGATAATACTTTGTTTTACAGCTCTCTCCATACAAGAATGTCAGTTGTAAATACAGTAAGCAAAATGTCTGTGGACTCTGACACATTTGCTGTATATGTACAGTTATTTGCATTACCTGTCTCCTCTGATAATGTATTCTTTTTCACCCTTAGGTCAGGTTAGAAGACGCTGCTGCTCAAAAGTACCCAAACGAAACAAATATTCACGTGAAGGTAAAAAGATTTACAGTTTCATTAGATGAATTAGGTGATCATTAGAGAGAAATCACATCACTCTGGGTTTTTCCATAGGATGCAAACTTCACAGAATTTTCCATGCAGATAAATATTAGCTTCATTGAATCACTGAGAACTTGTTCTCTTTTTCTTAGGAAACTTACTGAGTGTTTGGATTGGGAAAAAAAACAAGATTAGAAAATATTAGAATCCATTTAATGCCCACAGAATAAAACAATCAAGAGAAATTTGATCAAGTCTGATTAAAGGAGTATCCTCACCGATAAGAACAGTTGCAGAAGTGAAATATTATCCTGCCTTTTCCCAGCTGTATTCCATCACCATTCATCTGTGGCTGCATTCATTTTATGTTTTGAGAGATCAACCGAAGTGTGGTTCTGTAAATTCCCAGAAATCCAATTTTTGAACCCACAGCTCTACCAGGAACAAGAATTGGCTGAGATTGAATTTGTTCTAAATATGTGCATCTAAAGACTGTGTAAGTAAAAGTACATAATATCCCTGGTTTCAATGAGACTCCAGTAGAAAAGAAAGCTAAACCAGGAAGAAGTCTAGGATAAAAGGATTAGTATTCTTTTTAGAATCTTAGCATCTTAAATCTTAATGTTTCTAAATTCAATAAAATGTCTAGCTGATAACTTCTGTCAAACCCCAAAGATAAATAATTTGATCTAAAATAGTTTCTTTCCTGTTTCTAGTGTTCTAGTAATAAAATTATTAATTTGTAGTTCCAAACAAATTAGTTCTAGCTGATAAAATATCTTAAATGCTTTATTACTTTTTATATTTAGATAACTTAGGTGGAAATCTTTGTGTTACTCTACAGTTTTCCTTTAACTGCAGCCTTCCCTTCCTGTCCAGTCTCCCAGTGCTGAATCATGGGCTCTGTTTTATAGGCAGAGTCCCATTGGTACCAGGAGCAGTGAACAAATTGCAAAGTTATTATGGGTCAGGGGTTTACAGCTGTCTGGGGCTCCTCATTTAATCAGCAGGTGCAGTAACAACTGAGGACTTGAGCAATAGCAGGTTCCCAGCTGGTCCACAAGGCCTGGGGGGATGTGCAGTGCCAGAGGCACAGAGGCAGCTTCTGTCACTCCTGGCCTGAGCTGGATTGCACCTGCTGCTGCCTGCCTGATCCTGTGCCTTTTCCACATTACTGAGACTTCGTGTGACCAGCGCAGCTGTGACTATTCAATTTGAGTACTTTCTGCTATCTGACAAAATAGAGGGTGTTTCAGGTTTTTTTACATGCAACAGGCATGAAAACTCTCTGCTAAAAGTGCTTGCAAAGGGAACGTTCCTTTGAAAGCAGACTGCTGTGTCCTGGGGATGAAGTCCAGTGGTGCTGGTCTCTCGAAGCAATAGAAGGTATTGTGCTGGGGGAGAGAAAGGAGTACAAAGGAAGCACTCCATTAAAACCTGTAAATTCACCACAAAGATCTCCTACAGAGGGAATCTGAAATGCTTTTCTCTGCTGCAAACACAGTAATACTTTATGATCTTTGCTTGTCCCATTACACTCTGGCCTGGTTCTTAGAGCATTCCAATATGCCTGCTATTATCATCTCCTATCCTTACCCACAGCCAAACCTTTTATATGTCGGGAATTGTTGGTTATTTGCTTCCTCATAGGGTGTGTCTTTCTACTGCAAATGACTTCCTCCGATCTGCTTGTATCAAAATGCTTGATCTGAATTGGTTTCTACTCTTACTGAGAGGCAGTTGGAAAAGCTTGGGCTTAATGCATCAACTGCCCAAAGCTGAATTCTTCTGTTTAATGTGCAGTTCTTGACTGGAATTGTACAATGTTGGCTTTGTTTTTTATTGTTGCTATGAGATTTCTGGGTGACTTGTGCTGTCTTTTTAGGGGGGATATTACTTGCCTTATAGTCTGCAAGCAAAGCACAAGGACTGTTTTTCAGCATTGCTCTGCACTGTTCATTGTGCTGGGCAATTGCCATGGGCAAGCTGCAAAGCCACTTGGAGACCAGCTCAGTGTGGCTTGAGGAGAGGGTTATGTATAACCATATATAAGCACACTGGCTACTTCTTTTGAAGCAAAACCACTGATTTCCTAGGATGTTGTCATTCCATCAGAAACAATTGCTTTCCCAGAAAGCAAATGCTTCAAGCCAATGTCAATCTATGGCTTCTGACCAGGAAATAGGGAGAATGTGATGATAGTAAGGGGAATAGATTGTTTAATGTGTCAATTGCAGAATTCAAGCTCTGGAGAGACAGTAGCACCATCCTGTGTCTATTAAGACCTTCACCTGACTATGGAAAGTTCCAGCAGCAGCAAACTTTCAGTGATTGAGTACCCTCACTAAAGGGAAAATAGGCTGCTGGGCATCAGTGACCTCCAGCAACCTAATGAAAAAAAAAATTGCCATCATGTCCCTGTTTATTTTCAGATCACTGTTAATCTAAGTCTTCCCACACAAACATGGCTGAACTTCAGATATTAAAGTTTTGTGCCATTCTCCACACTCCCAATTAAAGAAATTTCTCAATTTTCTCTCTTTTTCATGTTTGTTTTACAGGTATAAGTTCTAAAATTATTCCAGTGCCAACAAGGAGATACTGCAAGCCTTGTCGTTGGCGAGACCCTATGTTTTCTGGACCACTTCCACAGCTAAAATAAGCAGACTGAGAGGAGGGTGAAAAGCATCTGCCTACATGCACAACCAACAGTGCTTCACTATCTTGAGGATCTTCCTTTGACAGACAGGACATGAGTGTACATTGCTTTGTGTTTGGGGAAAGACTTCATTACTGTTTATTCATTCCTTCACTCAGGCACCTTTGATAGTATTAACCTGGCAGAAAGAGTCAGGAAAAGTTGTCTGGCTGCCACCAGACTTTGTGGAATATTCCACTGCACCAAGCAGGGATTTAGCTCCTCAAGTAAGAGAATGAAAAGGTAGCTGAATTGCATTGGTTTGCATTTCTAAACGCCTTTTAGGCATTCCATTGTCTAAAAGGGGGTGAAGGGCTGATGCTTTTGTTTCTAATTATCAGTATACATGCATATTTAACCTTTTCTTGAATCATTTATTTTATATTAATATAAGGTGTTTGTTTTTAAGATTATCAATCATTTATGATTTTTCCTGTAACCCTTGTGCTTGGTGCTTGCAATCCACTTGGAAGTATAATTCTACAAATGATAAAAATCTTATCATTTACAAAGAGCTGAGAAACTAGATAAGCAGATTATTAAAATAGTGGTGATGGGCCAGATTCAAGTAAGCTTTTCAATATTTCCTCTGAGGGGGCTAAATCTGACTTTAAAATCAAAGTGGCCTGGTTTTAACTTCCTTAAGAGTGTCATCAGGTGGTTATTGAAGAGCATACTGAATAGATGCTGAACCTAATCAGATTTCATCTGCTCCTCTGAAGCCAGAAGGCAGCTGTTCTTTCAAGGCAATGGAGTTGTGTGATCACCTCAATAAAAAAAGCTTACTGGAGCATGAAATAAATGCTAATAATACCAAAGGGCTGAATAACAGAAACTGAAGCACCCACGGATACTTCAGCCATGTGTCTTCTGTGCTTTCCTAACTGTCCTCTCCATTGCTGCTGTTTCTCTGCCTGGGGGAGAATCCTTAAAACTGAATTACTTGGTTGTTCATAAATTCAGTTCTCCTTTTAGTGAATTTGAGGAGGAGTAGAAACCTTTTCTGCTGCTGGGTAAATTGCAGATTGCAAATAGTAATTTTTCTGTCAGTACTCATAGTGCTACTCTTTCTCTTAACATAATTATCAGTATGATAGAAATGGTTTCAGTGCCCTTCACAATTTGGGGGAGTTGAATGCGAACAGTCAGAGGTCTGTTGTAACTCACACAAGCAAATGCAATTCCATAAGGTCAGGTATATGGGCACTTACTCAAGGTCCTGCTCTTATTGAGAATATTTCTATTGTACTGAGCAATTGAACCTATTTCTGGGTCTTCCATGTGCTTGCTATTACTTTATTTTCATATTGGTTTTGAGAGTAGGTAGATCTGACTCAACTTCCCATTTGTGAAGACCTGACCATAGATAGCATTTTTTATATCAAGGATAAAGGAACTGCCAGTCCTCCTTACAAGACCTCTGAGTCAGGAGGTTGGTGAAGGAGCCGTGTTTCATTGTTCGGTTCTGATCAGAGAGCCAACAGATTTTATTTCTGTTGTTTTGTGGTGATTACAGAAAGAATCTGTAGAATATAAATGACAAGTAAATGTAAAAAGCAGTTTTGGTATTGTTTGCAACAGCGTTTTTTTCTCTAGAATATGGCCATGTGTTTACAGCTGTGTATAAAGCTTCACTAACAGGTTTGAATATTCTGTTCTCTAATGTGAGTTTAAGGCCTTTTCTTTTATATCTGAAAAATGCTCTAAGATTTTCCTCTTTGCCTCACATCCTCCAAACAGCATGCTCCAAACTCTCCAACCCTCCTTCATGCAAGATATTCCCTCTGATAAAAAAGCATAAGCCCCAGAGACCACTAGCACAATTCTTACAAAAATATTCTGTGTAGGAACATAATCTGAGGTAACTGGGAGTGGGCTGGGCCCAGCCTCATCCCCATGGGCACAGCTGTGAGGAGCAGGTGAGCAGCAGTGACAGCAATGAGCCAGGGAGTGACCAGGGCACTGACCAAAAAGGGAGCAGAGGGCTCACAGGTGCAGTGCATTAACAATCAGGGGTATGAAAGGCTGGGCTGAAGAAACAGAAGGGCAGATGCTTGCAGTCTTCTGAAGTGATGTGGTGCTACTCTGTATGGGCAGATGTCCGAAGCCTTCTGATGTGGTGAGGTGTTACTCTGTATGGGCCTAAAGCCTTCTGAAACTGTATGGTGACTCTGTATATTGTGGCTGTCTCGACTGCAGTATGTGCTGTGGCATATGCTGAGACAAATCTGGATCTCTGGAGAGATCCCAGGACATAACTTAATGCACTCACCAAGTTTCCCAGGCTGGCCTCAATCCTGGGTTGGGGGCTATTCCAGTAAACAATGCTACTTGTCTGAAGTCCTAGCCTTGGCTGAGGAGACTATAGCAGGATCCTCCGAATAATTTCAGCGTGGATTCTGACTGCTGCCAAAATGCTTTGTTGCTTCATATAGAGGTATGACACACAACACAGAATGTTGTGTGTCCTTTTGAGAGTAATTCCTCAGCAGAGTTTTACTCTTATGTACCAGGCCATTTCTCCATGTGGTACGACAGAGACCATCTGATCATGGTTTCACTTACAGGCATCTGTTCTTCCTTTTTATTTTCCTTTCACTTCTACATGTATTTGTCTGGCATTACCGGAAGAGAAACATATTTGCTCAGTGGCTTTTCAAAATACACAAGCTGTATGCTTATATAAAGTAAATTTATCTTGTCCAAGCTGACAAATGCATTTTTTGTGTCTTGTGTTTTTGTGTGCAGTCGGCTGTCAAGATAGAAAATTGCACAGCCCTTAAGTTGCAATAAAGATGTTTCCGAAGTGTCTCTATGCCTGACAGAACAGATGTTGAATCCTGGTCTGACCCTGTCAATTAAGTGAGCCAGGTGCCTCCTCACTTTGTTTACAGCTTAATACCACTAGCTAAAACCAAATCAGTCTGTTTTGTTTGGCACTATGACTGTGAATTGTCAGGAGCATGGGAGAAATGATCCCTGCTGACAGGGACTGTTGGTTTAGAGGCAAGTGTTGGGATCTCTTTTTCTAAGTGGGGAGTAGGAGAAATAAAAATATGTATTCTTTATACAAAATATTATCCCAAAAGGTGTAATGGGGGTTCTTGATGTTGGCTTTTCAGCTCTAGACTGGCTTGCAACTGATGCAAGGGCCCAGGGGTCCTCAAGGAATTCAGGGTTTTGGCTCTGGTGAAGTTCTGTTTATCCAAAGTGTGGACTAAAGGGGCAACTTCTTGTGATCCCATTTGCCAAGGAAAACTACACTCCTCCGTGAACAATTTCATTTCAAACAATAAGCTCAGCTGGAATATAAAAGCAGAAGCATATTTCCTGTGTAGGTACATGGCTAACTCTTGCCAAAACAGAATAGAAGACTCGTGGCTTCAGTGTTCTTTGGATCAAGCCTGAGGACCTGTTGCCTGACTCTCTTTTGTCCAAAGTTATTGCTAACTAGGTTTAGGAAGATACTGTCGGATTGTGCAGGCAAGTCAGATGTGTGTGCACTTTTTACCAAAGAATTTTCTGAGGAGAATTTATCCAAAGCTTTTCTCTTTTGTCCCTCTTGTAGACTGAGGGGAAAACACATTTATACAGTCTTTTTTACTTCAGTTATCATTAGATATAAGCAGTTATCTTTACCATAGCTAATTGCTCTGCAGGACTAATTTTTTTAATTGCTGTTGGGGAGCAAAGAGAGCCCTCTAATGGCAGGAGCAAAGGTGTTGGTTTCAATCCACATATGCCTGTGGTTCCCAGTAGCCTTCAGTATTATAAAATTTACAGCAGCCACTGGATAATCTACCTTGCTTTTGAGCACATAACTGTTCCATTATGCTTTGTCTTCTGATCTTAGAGCAGGGCTCTTGGTACATAAGTAATTCCCAGGAATTACTTCTGTTTTCAGTGTCTCAGTAGTAGATCTCTGCTAGAAAAGTTCAGTATCTGGATATAGATTTGTTCACGTTGTCATTCAACCATGTGCCAACATCTGTTAGTGTGTTTAAGATGACTGTGAATATCTTGAAGTGTGAGGGATTAAGGCCCAAGTTTCCAGGCTGATGCTCCACAAGGGAGCTAAGGACAGATTTCCTATAGGATAAGCACCTTACACTCACAATGCCATCTGGTCAGGCTCTGAACACGTTATCAGAGAAATCAGGTCGCTCTGTGTCTGTGAGCAATCCTCACGTGAACGTGACTGGTCTGGCTTCTGCAGCCTCACAACCACAACAACCTCAGTTGACTTGCAGAAGAAGGACTTTACAATTAAAAATTGTAAAGCAGGTATATTTTATTCCAGCTGGAATAATGTTGCAGATATGTTTTATTTCAGCTGGGATGCATGGGGGATATTTCCACCAAAGGCACGTGTACCTGGTGAGACAGATTCCAGGTTTAAATATGCATTGATCCCCCAAGCCCATACCTCCCTGCCTGCCCATTCCCTTCCCAGAGCTTTTGGTGGTGCCACACCTCCTGGTGGTCCTGGGTGGGTGTCTTTGATGAGGTAACATCATCCTCCTTGATGTTTGCTGCTTTCTTCTGGGCAGGTGCAGTGGAGGTTTGGCCAAAACCAAAGGGAGCAGAGGGCACACAGGTGCAATGTATGAACAATCAGGGGTATAAAAGGTTGGGCTAAAGAATAAGGAGGGCAATGCTTGAAGCCTTCTGACGTGGTAAGGTGTTACTCTGTATGGGATGAAGCTGTAAGAAATTCTGAGGTGATACTCTGTGTGTTGGGCCACCTCAACTGCAACATGTGCTGCAACATGTATGATCATTTAACTGCATTGCTGTGCGCTCCATTTGTGATGTGTGGTGCAGTCACAGCAATGGTTGCATTCTGGCTAAAGGAACTCTGTGTGCAAAAGCCAAACAGCAACAGGGATTCTCCTCAAACACCTGACAAGCAAGGTGCTGCTTAGGTCAGTGAAGAAGAGTGCTTTTCTGCTGGGTTTTGTCATCTTGTTTGGGCTTCAGCACTGATGCCAGCCTCAGGGGGCAAAATATTCCTGAGGCATCCTTTGGTGCTTACCTGGTTTCTGAAAAGCAAGTATCTTCAAAAGTGCTTCAGATTGTCTCCCAAAACTGAAGTGCACGTGAAAATGCTGTCTGCTAGGTGGGTCCTCCACACAAAGCTTCCTGTTTGCATTGTCCCAGAACCCTGTGTCCCAGTCAGTGCCAGTTGTGTGGTCTGTTCACTGAGCAATGCTAAAACCTATTTGCATCACAGGTTTCTCCCCAAGGAGTCAATATGTATAGGAAGGTGTTTTCATCAGGGGAAAAAAAAAAAAAAAGTGTGAAGAAGTCCATCTGTTTATGAATGCTATCAGGGAAGCAGTGAGGTGGTTAAAAACAAGATTCTGTATGAGCTGAGATAATGCAGTTGTGTCTCCAAGTCCCTCTTTAAAGCAATTTTTTTTTTTGACTCAGTGGCTTTCCTATTGTTAGCTTCCATTACTTGGGAAACTATAAATGATGGCAATTGTCACTCAGCTCTTATCTTGATGTTGTTTGAGTGTACCAAGGTTAAACAATTCAGCATTTTCTTTTTACTTAGTTAAATATATACCAATGCTGCTGCTTTATTCTACACACATCTTCAGGAGTGTGGTTGATGAAAAGAGAGAAAGCACTCTATGTCTTGACCTTGACCTCATAAGCTCCACCTTTGATAGTCTTTGAAAGGAACTCCTCTTAAATTTCCATTTAAGTCCGGACTCAGCAGTTTTTAAAACAGATTCTTGATTCTGAGCAGTAAAGTCAATCTACTCTTCATAATTTTATTATGAAATATTAGTGCTTTGCACTTTTTCCTGTCTTTTGAACAGAAATTTCTATTTCCTTCCTCAACATTTTTTCCATGCTTCCTTTTGTTCCTAAACATGTCAAGTCCTCCTCTTCCTTGTCAGTTTTCATTGAACAGAAAATTAATATTTTGCCTCTTGGTAAAATGATCTCTCATCCCTTCTTTGTCTATGTGGAATCTCAAAAAAACTCTGTGGTCTGAATTTCCTCAAGTGCTGAAATACATTAATTTGTCTTCATGAAATTCTGTCCATGAGACTGACTGGAGTGTATCTTTTCAAAAAAAAAAATGTTGTAAAATGGGGCTGCATTGCTTTTTTTGCTTTGACACTAATTTTGTACCAAGGACACTTATAGGATTTGAACACATCTGTTTCAAGGCAGCATATAATCATCTTAAAGCAACAGTATGATAAGAGATTTTTCTGTCATTTAATTTGTATTTCAGCATTCACTGCAGTAACTTTGGATTGTGTAATCTTAGTTAGGAGATGTGAAAATCTTTCTCAGATATTTTATTCATTCCTCTGTATCTATTGTTGAGATTCTTGCTATGTAGTTCTCTTGATTTACCTTATTGATAGATTGATAAAAAAAAAAAAAGCCAAGTAAGTACAGCATTTTGAGATAAAGTTCTAGAAATTGTTGGAGGAGATGGTGAGAGCAGAGTGCTCATAGGTAGAGCTAGTAGGAATGAAGAGACAATCTTTGGTCTCTCGCCAGGTTAAACTATTTGATTTGAGAACCATATACACACACTGATTGTAGAAATCTCTCCAGGCAAAGAGTGGATAGTTGATGGAAAATGCACGTGGGACTAGAGCAATAGTCCCACATGTTTTGAAGGTAAATTACTTCAAAGCTGAGTATTTAATATTCTTGTAATAGAAAATCTGTTGACATATAGCATGTTTTTTAGGTTAAGGACAAGCACTGCTTTGGTATAAGGCTGCCTGGATATTCAGGTTTCCTCTGGCCACAGCAATCCAAGGCAAAGGCTGCTGTATGCCCTGGCCAGGGATCTCCATACCCTAACAAGGTAAGTACCTTGTCACTTAGTCCTGTGTGAGAGGTGCTGACTTGTGGGATTCCCTTTTGAGAATGGTTTAAGGCACACCCCTGCATTCCCAAGAGAGATCATAGGAAGAGCCACCTGCAGTCACAGTGTCATACATTTATTTACTGAGTAAAATCCAGGGGCTGCATCAGCCCCTGTGGCCAAAGTGCTGGTGTGGTTCAGAGCTGATCTCTAGCGAGAGCTTTGGGTCACCTGTAGTCTTTGCATTCATGCCCTTCCTGTACTGAACAGCTGAGTTTGGACAGATATGGCAGTGAAAGGAGCATGTTTCATCTTCATACATCATGTTCAACAAGTCATGTTACAGTCTGGTAAGCAGGACATCCACGCAGGGGTGCCCAGGCATGCACACCAGCCAGGAGATTTATGGGAAGAACACAAGTGTTTCTTTGCTTTGCCTAAACAAGTCTCATTATTTTTCTCAGCCACACTGAGTAAACTATAAAATCTTGATTTATTCATTATTCACACCTCAACTCTGAGTTATATGTATAATTTTTACAGGCAAAACAATGAACAATACTAGTTCTTTCATAAATAACTTGGACTACCTGTCTGCTGCTAAATGGCATCCTTCACACAGATCTGTGTCGTGCTCCACAGCACCACATCCATCACAGATCATGCTGCTGAAGTGAATGTAGGCTAGCTAAATATACCTGGATATTCTAGGGACTATTTGTTCATTTTCCATCCCTGTCAAAAGAAAACTAGGAGAGTGATTCGTAGCTCCAAAGAAGGAAAGTTACTGAATTGTAAATGGATTTTGCAGTGGTCTTTAAAAGCCTCTAAGCTATCAAAATGGATAGCAGGAACTTTAATTACTTAGCAGCTGCAGAAAATATTCCCCTTTTCTCAGTTACCTGCAGCACCTTTTTTGCAAGTGCTATAAAACACTTTTGGCAGACTAAAATCAAGAGAAGCTGTATGTGAGATGAAGTTACTTCTTTTTCCCAGGAGTTCCCCAAACCTCTGCTGCCACCCACAGTGAATGACAATAACTCATGATAAATCATGCAGGCAAATGCTCTGAGATTTTTGGTGTGCAGACTAACATTTTTTTCTGATGGGATGAAAGTACCATCTCTTTACTTGTGTGGAAAAAATGCCCACCACATTTTGTTGGGAAAGCACTTTGTTGTCTGTTTTAAAGCAAGTGTGGAAATGCTAAAAATGGTAGATATTTGTTCTCCTGACATTGTAATATTTAAATGCCTTTGGAGATAATAACATCATAGCTGAGTGTTCCTGTTCTTGTTATCCAAAATAGAGGGGTTCAAATCCAAGGGGCTCAAGTTGATATAATGCTGGTAGTCACCTCTCTAAATCTTGTTTTTTCTTTCCATAAATTGGGAATGTTTTCCTTCTTCTGCTCTTTGGGTGTATCTTCCTGAATCAGTTGAGTTACAAAGTCTTATTCATGCTACGTGTTTTATCAGACAGATTTTTTTCTGATGAGGGTGCTGAAATACTGGCACAGGCTGCCCTGAGAAGCTGTAGATGCCCTGTCCCTGGAAACATTAAGGAGCAACCTGATCTAGTTGGTGATGTCCTTGCTCATTGCAGGGCTTTGGACTAGATGAGCTTTAAAAGTCCCTTCCAACACAAACTTTCTGTGTGCTACAACACAGGTTTCACCATTCTCCTGCACGCTGCTGAGGTTTAGCATAGCTGCTTAGTGGAGCTGCAATATAAAAAAGGATGTGTAGACAGCTGAGTTAGAACTCATGTTGTTCATTAAATTCCATAAACCAAACAGTACAGTGTCACTTTCAGCCTGGAATTACTGAAGTAAGAGAGGTTTATAATTTTAATCAAGATCATGCATGGTCACATCAGTATCTTTTGATTACTTTTATGTGAATTTAATGATCTTTGGCTGATTATTTATAGACTGTCTGTACTAGATATGAAAACCCCCATGTGTCAGAACTGTAACAATGAACTAATTTTCCTTTTTGAATGTTAAGTTCATTCCATTAATAGCAAGAAAATAAAAGTGAGAGGAAGAAAGAGGTGTTTATTTGTTTGCATTTTAATGTGCCATGACTACTAAAACTTCCATGTCATTTTAACAAATTTGCCTATCCTAAGTGATGAGAGTGGGCCGTGGAGAGATGCAGAAACTATCATTTAGGAGGTTACATATTTGTTCTGGCAACTGGAAGGAACAGAGTTTAGTGATAATGGCCAAGGACTCAAGAACACATCTCTGATTAGATTTAACCACCAAAACATGGGACTAATTCTCTTTTGTAGCTCCTACTGAGCAAGGTTTGACCTATTGCAAATCTGTTTCTCTCTCACAGTTGGTAATTCAAAATGTAGAGGTGGACCTTGAAGACTTCTGAGGAACTTTAGTCTTTTCTCTCCTACCAAAAAACTGGCCCAGGTTCTTGCAGATGCCCCAGTTCCTATAGTTTCTCCCAGCAACCAGACAGAAGGTACGGTGCTGTGCTATGAAAATGTAAAATTCTTCACCACCAAAACCAGTCATCTGAAATGTCATCTACAGCTGCTCCTGTATTTCCAGCATCATCTGTATTCTGTATTAATGGAAATTGGTGGAGAGTGATGATATGCCCCAGTAGAAATCATCTCTCAGTCCTTTGCAGGGAGATGTTTAGGAGGAGGAATGATGTCGTTTGGGCAGGCAGAGTGTTTTGTTTGGTTTGTGATGGGAGCTGTGTGCTTAACTGTGCCTCAGCTCTGGTGAAACAAGAGTGCTCTGAACCCCTCCCAGGAGCCAGCCAGGCAGCAAACACCCAGGCAACAAGTGTGACCATTACATTTATCTTACCTCAGCGTGTCCTGCTGCTCCAAAGGTGTTTGGAGATCAGCTGAGACAATTCTTGCTTACACCAGGCTGTGGGACTTGCTACTGAGCTGAGCCTTCCGTGTGCAAGGGACAGCCCAGCTGGGGCCAGGGTTGTTAGGGTGTCTGTCCTACCTATGGTTTTTGTCATAGCCCCTTCCTTTGTTTTCAAGTTAAAAAAGAACTTCCCAATCACTTTCAAAGATGTGAGAATAGAGAGAGTTTTGAGAAATTTTGACTGAGGCTCCACTTCTCTCCTTTTCAGAATTGCATGAGGAATTCTGAGTGAACTGTGCTGTGCACAATGCCTCCAGGTATCAGTGGTAAGTTCCACAGCCCCTTTTAGCATGTGATTTACAAAGAGAAGGCCACAATGTGATTTGGTGTCTTTCTGCCCATGCTGAGGTTTATATAAAGTGTGCAGCACTTTCTATGTTGAATTTATTGACACACCCAAATGTGCACACAAAAAATGCTGCATACTCCTCTCCAGGGTAATGTCTAATGTCATATACACCCTGAATTCAAGGACAAGCATATTAAAAAATAGCTTTAACTATTGTTATATGAGTGTGAACTTTATTACTTATTAATACTTGTCCAGAGCATAGAACAGAGGGAAATGGAAACACAAAATCTGAAGACAGTATATAGTAGTTAAAAAGCAAAGCAGGACAGTGGAAAATAATATCTGTTATTTCTTTCATTTTATTTTTCTCACTATTTTTAAATTGCAAATGCATGTAAGCATCCAAAAACTGATCAAAATGCAACACATGAAAACCTCCCATTTATATGCCAAGCAGGCATTCCCCAGGTGAGCAGCTCTAATGTGAGCCCTGAGGTGGAAGGGCCACTCAGGATGTGGAATGAGTAATTTCCCTCTGTGCCAGCTGAGTCGTGCCCTCTGCTCAGCCCGCCAGCACAGGTGGCAGCTGGGATTCCAGTGGCACAGCTGGGATTCCAGTGGCACAGCTGGGATTCCAGTGGCACAGCAGGGCTCTCCCTCCCTCAGCTGTGAGCAGGCTTCCAACTTCCCCCACCCCGAGCTCCTGGTGGCATTGCTGTGCTCCTGGGGAGGTTTAGGTGCCATTTTATGTTGGCATCTGCTGCCCCTTCTAGTCTGGCCAATATTTTAGGCTGTGCTTTGGGACTGGGCTCAAGAGCAGCTGTCTTTGTGGAACCCACAATTCCCCCATTCAGGGTTGTAGAAACAGAAAAAGTGAAGTTCTTGGTAGTGATGAAAGCCCTTTCTTGATTAAGGAGGATTACTAGTCTTAGATTTAAAGTTTAGGGCTAAAAAAGTGAATATGGTGGAGCCCAGGATTCTCCAAGATTCTCAAAGAGATGAGAGTTAACAGGGCAAGAAAAGGTACTGCTTTCCTGAAACCCCCTCCTACCCCTTTTCTTCCAAAGGAGAAAATTCATCAAAATAAGCCTGGATCCATGACCTCTGTTGGTTTTGATCAAAGTGTATTTTCTGACAGAAAAAACAACTCTGTCAAATGTTGCTGCGTTAGGTATGGATCTGACTGTGCATAGACACATCTTAGCTATGTAAGGGGATTAAGAGCTCAAACTCATTGAAATTCAGGAGGGAGGCATTTTGCTTCCTTGGAGATGCAGGCCCTAGAGATTCAGATCCCCAGGGGAACAGACAGCTATTAACTTTGACAAGAGCTCTCCATCACTTGTTCTAGGAAAATTCTCAGTAGAAAAAAATCATATTGTTAGTCCTGGATTGAGGAGGCAGATGAGAAGACATTTAGGTGCTATTTATATTTTCTTTTGGGCACCATGCAGATCTATTTCTGTGATTTTTATCAGTGGTTTAATACTATTTTTGACAGAGGTGGGTGATAGTCCCTATAACAGGGACTAAATTTATATCTGTCTTCTATATGTGTATCTGCTCCCACAGTTTTCAGCTTTCAATCCCCATATCATGAATTTAAATGCACTAAAAATACATTTGTTTTTCAGAGTTGCCTGCTGCCGGTTTTCCTGAGCTTTACAGGCCACTGCTGAGTCACAGATTGGTTCTACATGGAGCTTTTGTAAATAATGCTCTACAAATATAATCATAGAGTCAGAACAAAGGTTTGATCCCATAGGAGATGGTCAGAAAAAGATCAAGATGTTAAAGAGCCATCCCCTGGTTTAATTTCCGAGCTTCTGGCAGGTGATAATGTAGTGCTGTACCGAACCAGAGTTTGCATCTGTGTCATCACGTTTGTTAGTCATCAGTGAAACCAGTCTTCATTAATTTGGCTCATCCATTTGCAGCCTTCTTTTGCTCTCTGTACCATTCTCTGGTAAATTCCATTATGCATGATAAGTTTTGTTAATATTGGCCCAAGAGTTTTGTTTTTCTCCCTCAGAGAGCCTTGCAGTTGATCTGTTCTGCAGGCAGAGGTGTTCTGCCAGCAGCGCTGTAGATCCCAGGGGATCTGCAGGTGCCCACAAGCCCTGTCCACATCCCACAGCACAGGAGCAGCACAGCAAAGGCCTCTGCCATGGCCCCGTCCAGCATTTGTAAGGACACTATTCACACTACAAATGTGTGACAGGATCTATCAGCTCCTTCTGCAGGACAATTATACTGGAGCTGCCCAGCCTGTCCCTCCCCTCCATGAGTGATGGAAGCACTGCCCAGCTTCAGCTCTGCACCCTAGGGGCTGGGAGGGGAGGGGAGGGGAGCCTGTCTGTGGGGTTATGGCTGGGTAACAACCACATGTCTCTTCTGCAGCTTCAGCAAACCATGGTAAAACACACGGGTGACTGAGGGAGCCAAAGCTTCCACTGCTGCCCTGTGTGAAGATGCTTCCTGGCTCTGCCCCTGCTTTCAGTGTTCCCACTTCACCTGTGCCACTACAGCCGCCCAGCACATGCAGCTTCTGCCATGTTCTAAAGCATTGTGATGGGCAACTCTTTGCCTGATTACCTCCCTGGACATGTCTTTCGCTCTGGCTCTTCATTAACCCAGAAAACTCCATTAACACAACCTTAAAGGGCAAGTACTTTGCTGCAGGTCAGGTTTAGCCAGCTCAGCTCCAATGTAAACATCTCTGCTTGGCACACAGGTGCTGCAGGATCACTGTCACAGAATCATCTGAGCTGGGAGGGACCACAAGGGTCCTTGAGTCACTACTGTCACTGATGGAGCTCCTTTCAAGCACATTTATCTGTGCTTTATTTTGGTTGATTTTTAAACATATAGTGTGTCGCAATATATGTATTTTTAGTTAGTGAAAACATCTTTTATATGTCAAACCAAGCAATTTTAAAAAGCTATTCTGTTAGCTTTTTCAGTGTGTTGATGGTTAAACACACTTCTTAGTATGTTGAAAATTTTCTGCTGAAAGTAAAAGATGCTTTCAGCAATTCGTGCAGTTTAAGAATTAAATGATCAGGCCAAGTCGTAAAAATAACATTTTGACTTCTGCGTTTTTAATATGCAATGTTTTATATGTTTTTGCTATCATAAGTGCTTTCTTTTAAATTGTAAAAATCATTTCTGTTGGTTTTGCTAATACTAGATTTTCTTCTTTTGTAGTTTCTCAAGATTACCAGAGCTAAAATAAAAATAAACTTCTTTTAGCACTTTAAAACACAGAACTGTCTTAGAGAATTAGAGTTCAGAAAGAAAACAAATTTCTACTTTACCTTCTCCCTGACTTGTGTGTTTGGACAGCACAAACACAGTACCGACAGCAAAACATGGGAGTTACACTGATTCCTCCAAATCTTGTCTCAGAGATGAGTCCCACAGCTCCCTGCAAAGTAATTGGTCTAATTAGGTGGTAGGAAGGAGCTTCTTTAAATTCCTCAGAAATTAAGACGTGTCATCCGCTTAACATCTTAGCATCTGCTACTGCCTCTTCCACATTTCTCTGCTACATCAGTCTGAAGGGCACTTTCCTGGACATTTCAGAGAGACAAAAAAATAAAAATAAATAAAACCAACAAAAACCAAGCCCTTATAACACAGAAGAAGTTGGCTCTTTCTTCAGTGGGATGAAGCATGTAAGGCATTTCACCCCCTCCTTATTTCTCAGTTTGGTGCATGTTTGCCTGGGTGAGTACAATAATCACTTTGTTAAGTAAAAATATAGGAGAATAAAAGCATAACCTTAAATCCTGTAGTTATCCTTACTGATGTAGTGTTGTTCTGAAATATTTTCCATGGCAACTGGTCCTTGTGCAAATGTAACCCTCTGTGTTTATATACTTGCAGTTTTGTTCAAATGGGCTATTTTGAATCTCTAACAGTCAGTCAGTAGAATGACAACTAATTTGTTGTTTTTTGTTTTGTTTTTTTTAACTTTGCTGTTGTCTGGCAGCAAGTAAGTATTTAATTATGGCTAATTGCTCATGTAGTAGGCATAATTTTAAGGCAGGATGTGCTTAGAACACTGGGTAAGGCACCAAGGCACTGGGAAAGTTTCAGGCTTGTATGTGTAGGGGAGAGGTGTTCCATCATTGCAAACTGAAAAAGTTCATTTTTCATTGAAGCTGTTTGGAACTGGTTGAGTTTTTTTAAGGGAGATCCTGCTATTTGTTTCATTTCTGTTGGTTGGGAGGTTTTTTATATACTCTATTTCCTGCCGTGTAAATACTGGCACAGTGGTATGTAGAAGTAATTTTATTAAAAAATATCTATACAGATACAGTTCTGAAAGCTCATTGCAGCAGTATACACTTCTAGTATTCCCTAAACAGCTCCTGTTTACTGGGAGTCAGGTAACTGAGACAGCCAAATAACTGTCACCTACAAAATGCTTTTGTTTGGCTTCTGTTTTATTTTAATTGCAGTTCAGGCAAATTATGCCCCCTATTTCTTTGATAATGGAGCCAGAAGCACAAACGGGAACATGGCACTTCTCAGCCTTTCAGAGGACACGCCTGTTGGTCAGTATTAAAATGTTGTTTAATGTATGTTTAAATGTATGTTTAAACTGTGAAACTGGAATTGTTTGCTCTTACGATTAACATATATATTTTCTTGTAGGTTGTTGTTATATGTTGTGATCTTAGATATTTTTCTCTAAAGCTTTTAATTGGCCTCAATTTAAAATGACATTTTTGAATTGTAGCTGCAATTTAAAACATGAATTCTAGCTCCCTCTTTTTTTTTTTTTTTGTCTACCAATCTATTCACAGCTTCAGAGAACAGACCTTTGGGGTTAGAAATAAACTTGTAGTGAGAGACTTCTTACCAATTCTGTAAATGCTTATGAGAAGAAAGCCTAGTTTCTAGTAATTTTATCAGCCTTGGTAAAAGCAAGCTGTACATTGAAAATTAAGGGGCATGATTTTTTTTTCTAAACATATTTTTAATATTTATGTACAAATGGTAGAAAATGTTTCCACTTGCAGTGAAAATTGCTTTGGCTAAATAACCCAAGTTTTTTTAAATGGTTTTGTTTTGTTTTATTGAAAATTCAAAAATTGATAGTTTTCAGATTTCAGCACTTCAAGGCAGGTCTATTTATGCTTCTTTTAACAGTAGTTGCACTAAGAAAAGTTAAATAAGAACAAAAGGTGATTTATAATCTATATTTTCTGTAGGGGAAAAATAATCTCCTCAAACCTAAACAATTACTTAAAAATATATTAAGTGATGAACATCACCTTTACTTCAAACTTTGTAGTGAGATTTTATTTAGGATTTTCTTCTGTAGCTTTCACAGGCTAAATCAGAAAAAATATTTAGTTAATGCAAACTGGGTACCAAAGCACCCCTTTACTTGTGCTCATGCAGAGAGGAGCGATATGGCTGCACAGGGGGTGCAGGCAAACACCCCCTCCCAGGGCTGAGGCAGCTGGGGAAGGCCAGGCTGAGGGAGGGATCAGAGGGCACAGCCTGCTCTGCAAGCCTGGCATTGCCACCCACGCCTTCTTACAGCAGACCAAGGTCACTCTGCCCTGGGAAGCAGCTGCTGGGATTGCTCAAAGTCTCCATTTCTGACCCAGTGGTGTTCATGTCATCCAAGACCCACACTGGGCCTGCTAGAGGATGGGGAGAGGGGTATTTGGAAGCAGCAAATTCTCCTTTACCTGCTCAGCTTGAGAAGAGGAGGGGGAGAAGGCAGAACATAGTGTAGAAGTGACACATCCTGAAAATTAACTTAAAAGGAGCTTGCTTATGATGCAGCAGGAATTTGCTATAAGGTTGCTCAAGCTTAAGTGGAAAGCTCAGCTTGAAGGCCAATAGTAATGTAGTGGCACTTGCAAAAGCCAGAGGCAGACCAAGGAGCTGCAATTTTTGCTGTACTTCTGCCTGGATTCTCATGGAAACCACACTTAGTTCAGCCTTGGCACTCCCTACAGTTCTGCTGATAGCTGGATTAGATTAGCCAGTGGAATCACTTCTCCAAGTGTAGATAAGGCTGTAATGCCAGACAGCCACAAAATGGGACCCCAGCTCAGCTTGTTTGGGCTGGTTCTTGCCAATTCCACCACTGAAACCACAGGCAGTACAATTGCTTTCCATCCAAGTCCCACTCCCTGGTGTGGTGCCAGCCCACTGACATTCACAGAGCACCAGCCTCTCCCTGCCACCACTGGGAGCCTGCAGGCACCTGCGTGGGGATGAGGAGATAAAGATGGCACAGAGCCACAACATGGGGAAAATGTCCCTCCTGTCAGGGCTGCAGCACCACATCATCTCTCAGATGACAGCACTCCCTGCAGCAGTGAAGTACAGCAGTAATTCCCACTGCATCTGATCTGCTGCTCCAGCAGCCAAAACCAGGACAGTGTGCCTCAACAGCAAAACAGCAGTGTGAGGGATCAGAGCCTGTGTTAGTGCTCTCCTAATTAGCACGAGTAAGAATAATGAGATGTATGTGATAGGCTTCTGTATGTGCTTTTGTAACACTAGCATCCAGACTAGGAACACAGAGGTCTCGGGAGAATTTATGCTTTGCTTCCAGCAGTGATGAAGCTCAGGCTGCTCTATCTTGAGAGCTGCTGTGCTTCCTGCCTACTAGCTTCATCCAGAATGTGCTTACATGTGTTTAAATTGGCTGGCTTGTACTTCTAATTTGATGTGTAAATGTGCTTTAAAAGACAAGAGAGACACAGCTTCTCTCTGAAAGCTCCAAAAGACCTGTGGAAACCTTGAGAAAGAGAGATAAGACCTTACTTTTGAGAAGACCAAACATGGTTGCTTTGTCACACAGCTTCCAGTGCTTCTTTGGGCTAATTCCCAGAGTACCTTGACAAACAGCTCTAAGTACTGCAAGGTCCTCTCTTCTGAAAGCACTTTTGGAAGTTCCATTGGAACATGGTTGCTTGGGATTTGCTTAATGCAAACTGCTGCTGCCCATGTCAGCGTAGCCACTCCCCGGGGAAGCTTTGGCAGAGCTGGTCCCAGAGAAGGGCACAGACAGCACTGCCACTTCAGTGCAGGGTGTGCTTTCACTTTGTACAGGGCAAGAAGGCCAGAGTTCACATCAGACCACAGCCAGATCTTTGTGCCAGAGCTCAGTACTAAATGGCTCCCAGGCTGGCCCTTTTCTGTGGCACTGCAGAGGAGAATATTGCTCTTCATCTCTTGCTCTGATCTCCTCCAGAAGCAGGAGCAGGGATCTGGTCTCTCATGTCCCTGTGCAGTCCCAAGCATCCACACTCCTGCAGTCGTCTCTCAGGTTGAGCAGGATGATCAGTGACAAACAGGGGAACTAAAACTTCCATTTGTTTGATTTTGGATGGCTTCACTCAAGTTTAGGTGCTGCAAAGATGGACAGGTTGCTATTGGATCTTCCCTGTCCTTATATAAAGCTTGGAGTCATGGGTAGGATGCTTTTCTTGGCAGCAGCAGTTGTCTGATCTGTGCAATGCCACAGACAGCAGCTTTAATAAACCTCCAGAAATTTTACAGTCTTTGACCCTGCTGAGATTGCAAGTGGTTGGCAAAGTAGTATGTGTTAGTTTTATTCCCAGACATCTGTAGGCAAGGGACATGGAACATTTGGGAACACAGAAAGGACACAATGGAGTCTATGTGGCTGTAGAGATATTGCAGTTCTGGAGCTGTGAGAACACATCAAATTCATTATCATTCTCATATCATCCTTAACTTGACCTTTTTCCCCCTTGTCTGGTTTTGCTTATTTACAGATAGTTGTAACTTTTGTACCAAGTTATCATAAAAACAGCAAGTACTATTTCTGCATGAATGCTCAAAAGTACCTGCAGGTTCTCAGATCCTATTTATTGCTGCAGGGCTTGAGAACCCTCAGGGTAAGAGGGGCCAGGACAGCAGCCCCTTTCAGTGCCACATTTAAGAAAAATGGGAGAAGATATGTTATATTTCAGGTATATTTACTGAAATAGCAGTTGGTGTTTGTGGTTTGGCAGGGCAGGTGGGTAATTAGCTCTTTGCATGTGTACATACAAAATGTGCGTGTGCTCCTAATCAAGGTCTTAAGGCAGGAGTGAGTTTCTATTTCAGGTTGTTTGTTTCATCTTACCTCATAATCCCTGTAAGCCTCATGGTGGGGACAGAGTGGGACTGGGAGCAGCTGCAGAGCAGGGGATTGAAGCATATGCAGAAGGCCTGAGTTCATTACTCTCTCCAAGCCCAAATATCATCGGTGCTCCGCAGATCTCTGCATGATCTGCTTGCATTTCCCTTTCTGTTTTTTCCCTTGCCCCCAAGAAGGCACTCACTCCCTTAAAAGCCAGCTTGCAGTGGCAGTTCTTTGATCAAAGCTACAGCTGCCACCTACTCACCACTGGGTGACAGATCCCTCCATCCTTCATGCTTGCTCTGTTCCTACATGCTCCTGGTCTCCTTTCTTCCCATCATTCACAGCTGACTGAGGAAAGCCTTCTTGTTCCCTGTGGTACCTATCATTTTTTCCTTGTTTCTGTCACCCTGGTCCACCTCTAGGAAAGCTGAGAGCTGCCAGAACAGAAGTATTAAGCACAGCCTGCCTTCTACACCCCTGTGGCAGTGCCAGCATGCACAGAGCAAAGCAGAGCACTGCAGAGATGCTCTGAGGACTCACAGGTGTTACAGCCTTCAATTCTCTTTAGATTCTTCTGACAGAAACTGCAGATACATCAGAAAATTGCACTCAGATTGGCTTCTCCTTGGTTGCCATGGGTGCTGCAGGACATATTGCTGCTGCCCATGGGTCTGGGCCCTGTGCTGAGCCCTTGCTGCCATATCCCATCTCTCCAGGACAGGCACTGGCAGCTGCAGGGTGTGTTTTGGCTGCTGCTGTAGCCTTTTGGGCTGCTGATGCTGCCATGTCTCCGCTTTGCCAGCTGGCTGGTGCACCAGGGTGCAGGGAAGGAGCAGGAGACACCTGGGCATGGTCTGGAAGGAGCAGTAGCAGGCAGGGAATGGGGAAGGGACTTTGGGGTTGTCATGGTGTGTGTCCATAGCCTCCAGGAGCCTGAGCTCCCCTCTGTTGGGGTGAATTTGGTGTGAAAACAGCCATCTGTGCATTAACTGTCCATCTCCTCTTCTGCTGGGGAAATGGGCCCTCAGTTGAGACAGGTGGAGAGCAGACATGGGACCCCAGGCAGGCAAGGTGGCATTTGCTGTGACATTAAGAACAGAGGTCTCTTGTCCTGGGAGCATGGCCTACATGTCCCTCTCAGCATCTTGTTAACAGTTGCCAGCTGTGGGGGCTAAAATTTGAGCCACAAATAAAGTAAAATGGAGCAATGGCATCATGAGACAGCCATCAGCCCAAGTGGCAGAGCAGAGAGCAAATGACTTTTAAGATGGAATAGAAAAAACAGAGTGAAAAAGCCTGGCATGGCTCCTGTGAGAAGCCACTGCAGGAAGCAGCAAGCAGCTCCCCAGGACTCCCCTGTCCCAAACTGGTGCATCATCCTCTGGGTACTCAGAGAATCCAGCTCTCCTAACTGTGGCATCTGCCCTATCCTCAAGTAAAGACCATTTTATTCCCATATTTTTATGACAGAGAGAGGGTGTTTACTTCGTATCCTCTGGTAAAATTTCATCTGTCTTTTTCATTTATTTCTTTTTCAGCAAGTAGAGGCAGCACACTGAGAACAGATTTTTAATTGGCATTAACACTGTGGTGAGAAGTGTTCCTGGGGGTGTTAATGATATGGAGAGTACTGTGCAGTGAAATTACAATTTGGAAAAAATAAGGAATTATAATGAGTTAGAAAATAAATTTTGATCCACAATGTAATTTAAAAGGCATGCGAGTATTTTGTATTATGAAAAATAAAGTATCAGCTTTAGCTAAAAAGCAGAGTCCACTGTAAAAATCAATGAAGTCCATCGTTACTTACTCAGAAAGCTCAGTACCAATATCAATGTTTCTACTCAAATTTAGCAGCAAGAAAATTCCTGTCTTCCTTATAAAAAAAATCTAAGACACGTAGGAAAGGAAACTGTGAGATTTAAAGAACCAGCCCAGGTTCAAATGGGTTCACATAAACTTTCAGCCTGTTGTTCTCCAGCCCTGTGCCCCCTGAGGAGTGGTTTGCATTTGTGTGCTGCTGGTATTGGTACTTCAGGGCAGCCACAGCAGAGACCCTGTGCCTGGTGGTTGCTCTCAGGTTCCAAGAGAGCCCAAGTGTGGTGTCCATCCTGTTTCTCCACAGCACAGAGAGCACTGCTCAGCAGCTGCTGCAGGCATCCACACAAGCTAGAAACATGCAGGACAACCAGCTTTCTGTCAAGTGCAAGGGACAGAAAGTGCAGAAAACAACTGAGAAATAGAGACAACTAATGACCAAAAAAAGGCTGCAAAAAAGCATATTTTTATAAGCATATATTTATTTCTTGAAAGCATATATTTATAAGGAAAGCAGTGAGATGATGACAATTGACATCTTAACTTTCCAATTGGACCCAGCTGTGATATTAAGGCAAAGCTTTTGAGAAACAAGAATAAATAAGTCAGTGCTGGTGCTGCAGAACCCTCCAGTTTTCAAATTTCTTTCTCTAATATAGTTGTATCAGGAAGCAGGTGTCCCTTCAGGATACTATTTTATATCAGTCCCAGTTAATTCCTCTCCTTTCATTTCCTTGTGTTTAGAGAATTTTTACAGTCAGACATGTCTCATCATACTGCTCATTGTCTTTCCCTAATATTTTTCAGGGGTCACAGTTACAGATGTGTTATTTTCCATTCTGCTTTGTGGGAAAAGTACAAGAAAAGTATGGGAAAATGTTTTGTAATTTTGTGAACTGTTTTGTAAGTCTTGATTATTTGTTGGCTGGCTGAACCAGCTCATCACATGGTCTCTTGTAAGTGCTCTTGTGGGTGCATTGGTTTTTGCAATGTAACATTTTTCTGTACAAAGATGCCCAAATATTGCCCTGATAATTATCAAAAAATAGTTACTCCTAAGTGAGCACAGATTCCACATGGTTTGGTATAATCTCTTGCTGTGACAAGGAGACAGCCATGCTTTGCAAATATCACCACTGGATGTCCCACGGCCACTAAGGCCCCTGAGCAGCTTCAGTTTGCATGCCAAGAAAGAAGCAGATTACATCCAAAGGTTGCCTTGCAAAACTAAGGAAACCTTTGAGAAGCTGACCTGTCTGTGGTGTGGGCAATGCTCTAGAATTAAACACAAGCTTACAGATCTGTTCAGTGCTCTATGCTACTGAAGAGAGGAGATAAGAAAAAAAAAAATCTCACTTTTGTGTACTAAATTAAACATCTGCCAAACTTAGGGACAGAATAATTCAAAACTGAGAGTTTAGTGTTCTTCCTGAACTTTATGCTACCTTTCTTAGCAGGGATGCTTCCATCCTATATTTGGGTTGCATGCAGGAACAAAACTCACTAATGACTAGTGAGTCACTTGTCACAGTATTTCCATTGCAGAGGGCTTTGTTAGATGTAAAGCAGTTTCCATAAAGCTTAACCTCTACAACCTGAATGTCTCAGGTAATTTACCCAAGGCACAGCAGATAGGAAGGAAACAACAACAGTGGTTTATATTTCAGGCTCAGTTAACTGGTGTTTGTAAACTACTTGAAGTTACTTAGATGAAGCCATTAAAGCATAGTGGAATGACAGACATGTAAGTTCAAAAAATAATACTGATAAACACTCTCACCGTGCTTTGAAAATATGGGTGTTATAACTCCCCCAGAAATTATCATTTATAATACACAAAGCAGTTTAGTGGAAAAACTGGCACCAGCTTCTCAGTGCTTAAAAATAGAAATAACAATCTTTCTCCAGCTTCTGAAGGAAATACATTGATGAGTTTGAAAAATTTAATAATTGGTATGAGCATGACTGGGTGTGTCAAGTAAAGAGCTAATGAGTGGGAGTGAAATAGGAGAGAAGACTTTTGCATCTATTAATTCTGAAAGTGGGAAAGTATGAAATGTCCTTGCACCTCCCAAGTTCCAGATCTCAGTTCCAGTCCTGAGGGAGCTCTCCCTGAAAGGACATTGCCAGATTCTCTGCATGCTAGTTTGCAGTTCTGTTGTTCCTACAAAGAAGAGGTCTGTGAGGGCCTTTTGGTGCTGCTGAGACTGTCACCCAGCTGAACAACAGCATCACTTCTGGCTAACCTGGACTGAGAGCTGGTGAAGAGCTTGTCACCCATGTAAACCCTTGGATATGAACAGGCTTGACCTGGGTGCAGCTCCACAGGAAAGGACCTAAAGTGACAGAAACCAGCACTGATGAGCTCAGTTTAACCAGTTGGCTAAAAAGTTGCCATCAGGACTATTGACCTGTCTGCTTATCTGTATTTCCCAGTAAGTGGGTTTGATTGACAAAACCTTTTCCTGCTGCAGGGTATCCAGGTTCCTAAGGAACAGACCAGTGAAAGCCTCACTGATGGAAATAACCACAGGGAAATGCTGTTGAATATCAATTTTTCAGGTACCCATGTGTACACTCTGAATGGAACTGACCCAGAAGGAGATCCTGTGACATATGGCCTGACCTATGAAGCTGGATCAAGGCGCTACTTTTCTGTTGACAAGAATCATGGAAATGTTACTTTGATCGAGGAGCTTGACAGAGAGGTACAATCAAATGGCACCACTCCAGGTGTTTGTGGAATTTCTTTCAGTTTAATTTGATCTGAGGCTTTGAGGGACAAGGCTAGTTTATTAGCCTCTGAAGCATGTAATATACTTTGCAATTCTAAGACATTATACTTCACCCATCATGTTGCATTCCAGTTGACTTGTGCCACTAACATTGCTATCAAATTTTTCAGCTGCTGTCTGTCCAGCTTTTTTCAAAAGAGAAGTAGATTCTTTATTTATCTTCCCCCCTCCACACCCCATCAAGAGCTTAGGGGCTGCTGCAGTCATCAAATCCTCAGAAAGGGAACTCTCCTATCATGAGGAAGAAGCAGAGATTTGTGTAAGAAGTACTTCAGGGCACTCCTCTAGTACATCACAGCCCTTGAGCCAATGTAACTATGCTGGTTAAAGATGCCTAAAGCCAGCCTTATTCTGGGAAGAAGGCACTGAACCCTTCATATCTCCTCATTGAGAAGCTTACACAATATTTGGTAAATGCTTTAAAAATCTGTACACTAATACAGAAGAATTTGGAACCAAAGTGCTATTTTAGGGAACATTCTTTGAAAAGGGTGACTGATTTTTAGGAGCACTTTAGGAAGCCACAGGGATTTCCAGAGCAACCATCTCCTGACAGTAGCCACAGAGGGTTCAAGAAGCTGGAACTTCCAAGGGGTCATCCTGGCCTCTGCTGGGATTGCTCTGTGGTGTTAGTTGTTATTTTCATCTGCCTGCCTAGACAGGTTTAAATCTGCAGTCCTTTTTCCAATCAGGACAAACACCATCTTTCTAACAAAAGAATTTTCTTCATTTACAGAAGGAAGATGAGATTGAAGTTATTGTCAGTATTTCAGATGGCCTGAGTACAGTAAGTATTTAATTATGCTGTAGCTTGTCAAACTGTCTGTCCTCATATACCTACTCCTATGACATTACCTTAAAGGGAGCATCTCATTTGATCAGAAAACATAATCTCATTAGAGCCTTACCTCCTGTTCCAAGAGCCACTGAACTCACAGTTACTCTAGTCTCATTTCATCTCCTTGCTCAGCTATTTGAGGATAATTACAATGAAGTGTGAGCTGAAATAGTGACTGAGCAGCCTGCAGAATTACAGCAGCTTCCCATGAAGTTTCACTGCCAGTGCAGTCAGATTCATGCCTAAGATCTGGAGGCTTTTTGGAGAAATGTGTGACATTATAGGAACTAGTGTTGTGTGCCCAAGAGCTGCCTGTCCCCACCCCCACAGTGTTTCTCCAGCATGATGTTAAGAAGATTTGCTTAGGCTAAGGTGGTGGGGGTTTCTTGTCTGCTGCTAGATAAAGCTTTGCTCATGACTAATCATTAAGAACTTATCTGAGGCACTGAGCATCCAGTCCTACTTTCACAGATTTTCTTGGTATTTTCAATTTGTGGACTGATGCTCTCACAGCCAGGATGGCAGTCTGCCAGTAGGAGGATGTGGGCTTCATCACTAGAGGTACCACAGAAATGGGACCCTCTTCACAGCCACAAGGCTGGATAAATCTATAGCCCTTCCTCATCTCAAATAAATTAATTGAGATTATTACAAGAAATTTTTTGAATGTCCCAGCCTCCTACAGGCACAACTGCCCTGGAAACCTCTGTAAAAAGGAAATAATGGGATTCATAAATAATGGGAGTCATAATGTGCTCTTCATATTCTACTCCAGGTTTCTGAAAAAGTCAGGATCCTTGTAATGGATGCCAATGATGAGAGCCCAGAGTTCATCAATACACCTTACATAGTCCAAGTCCCAGAGGTTGGTGAAGTTCCTTTGCATACTGGAAATATACTTCTATAGGATGTAAACAGGGGCAAATATGTTTTCAGTAAAATAACAAGTTGTGCAGGACAGGTTTGCATTCTTTTGGTTTAGGGTTTGGGTAGCTATTTAATATTAACTGCAAACTTGGGGAATAAGTCTGTAGGTACTTTAGGTGTGCTATTTTTGGGGTAAGTTCCAAGATGTGAGTCAGTGTGAGTTTTTGGAATTTACTACAGTGGGAATAGGATATATCCAGTCTCAGCTAAAATATTCTGCTATTTTTATTTCACAAAGTGTTTCTTCTTGTTTTCCAGTTTTAATCTCTTCCCTCTTTCCTTTCTGCTCTTTGGTTCCCTCAGTGCTTTTACATTCTTTCTACCATCACACTCTTTTGCTGCCTCCCTGCATGCTCATTGTTCATTTCTTTTACCTCACTTGCTTTTCTGTTTCTGTGTGACTCTGCTAACTCTTTCTGGTCACAGAACACTCCCTCCAGCAGCAGTATCTTTAAGGTCGAGGCAATAGACAAAGACACGGGTTCTGGAGGAAGTATCACCTACTTCTTGCAGGTAAAGTATTGTCCGTACCTTCACAAGTCATCTCTCATTTACTGAGGTTTCAGAAAGCAGATTTTAAAATTATTTTGGGGGTTGAGTACGCTGCTAGTGCCTATAGAGCAATTTTGTACCACGCACAAGAAAATAAGCATTGGCAGGAGGGATGCTGTCTGACTGCAGGCAGCCAAGGGGGATCCAGCAGGCAGTAAGGGGGGCTGGAGTTGCCACTGACACTCCTGTGCTTGCCAGCAGGACCCCCTCATGGCAGGGCTCTTACTGGCCCTTCCTTTGGAGTGACAGAGAGATTAGCTGGTAATCTTGTATGCTTATGGGATTTCTAAAGCATGAAATAGCTTTCTTTAGGGAGCAAAACACACTGGAAACACAAATGTGCTCTTTAGTGTAGCAGGCTGGTGCATAATTGATACCTGGATCACAGTGTGAAATGAGAGGTACTAAATCTTCTCCCTGACAAAGCAGTGGCTGCCTGAAACCATCCTCAGTTGCTGCCCACTGGTGAAGAACTGAAAGGGCTCCAGATTTAAAGCAGAACCTCTGTATTACAGATTGTCTGTATGTCACAAGGGCAATTTTTTGCATTATGCCCTTCAAATTCCTTCTTTCTACAGGTAGTTTCATCCAGGTTATCTGCAGTTCCCTTGCAAACAAAAAAAACCAAAGTAAATTTGTTTTGGATAAGAATATTATTTAAATTTATTTTATCCAAATTTAATTTTGGATAAGAATATGGAGACAAGTTAGAAGATATTTACATAGCACTAAAGCTAATCCTGTTAAGAGCTTGGGCATACTGTGAAAGAACACCTTGAATGTCTCGTTGAAATTTAGCTTTGATTTCACAAATTATGGTCCATGCGCAGGATTCAATTTTGCACAGGGCTTTTATCAGAGAGCTGATAGTCTATGAACCAAGGGACAGCAATTTCAAAATTCTATATCTAGTTTATGATATATTGTGTGGCAGAAAGGATAACAAATATGTGATTTGCTGAAAAAGTCTTGCCATGTCTTTGGGCAAAGTTTCTGAGAATTCTCAAGTTGCACAGAAAAAACCTCTCCACAAGTATGATAAAGGCAGGTGCTGATGTCTGCTCAAACAGCCAAAATTATCTGACAGTGGCCATTGTGTCTGGATACAAGAACAGAGGTGTTTGTACAGATATCTCCAGTTCAGAAGAATGGAGGGAGGCATTTTTAGGCCTCTTTTAAAGTCAGATGTCCTTTAGGGTTTTTTTGTACATCACAAAAATCACCAGACCACCGCTGTGTTTGACAATAATCTATACATGCAACCTTTCAGCTTTTTTTTTTTTTTGAAACTAGTAGAACTTTAAAACTCTAAGGGATAACACCATTTCTTGTCTTCCTTTTTCCCTTCAATTTTTTTACTGTTAAGTCTCCCCACCTCTTTCCACGCAATTAACTGAATTGACCAAAGTGTAAGTATTTGCAATTAATTACTAAAAGATTAAAAAAATCTACATTAGAAGTAACTGATTTATTCTGAATAATGAGAGACTTGTGGTCGGTTCATGAATAGTTCATAAACACATAGAGGTGAAATTCATCAAATACATTATTCACCCAAACCGTGTCATTATTCTAGTCTTCTCCCTTAGCAGGTGAAATAAAAGATTATTCCCTATGGCAATCCTATTCCATATATGTAATCCCTGGCTGTTTCTTCTTTTCTTTTCTTCTAGAACATCCATGCTAATAAGTTTACAATAGACCGTCACAGCGGCGTCCTGCGCATCAAGCCAGGGGTCACCCTGGACTATGAGAAATCAAGAACACATTTTGTTGTCGTCGTAGCCAAGGTAAAAGGCTTTTATGTGAGACTAGAGGAGGTGGGGTGTTGTGTTTGAGTGGGACCAATTAGTTCGAATACGAGTGCTGCTGAAGCATGAAGGCAGCAGAGTTACTGCTGCTGTAAAATCTGGAGGTGTGGGGGGTAACATGAAAAGGTGAGGGAGGAAAGGTAGCAGGTGTCTGATGCTGAACAACATCTGGAGGATTTGGGAGGGGGTTTCCCACATTTCATTCATGTCACCTGAGTGCCATGAGACTCACCTAGAAGTGAAGGGTTGGTGTGTCCAGCCCTGGCTTCAAGAATCCTGTGAGCCCAGGGCTGCTCATGCTACCCAGGGCACAGCCCTACCACCACAAGGACAAACCCCTGGCAGGCAGATGGGCCACAGTCACTACCCACAGTAAGACACAGGACACAGCTAGACCCAGCACAACACAGGTGATGGATTTCTTTTCTGGAAATATCTGTGAATGTTTCTTTTTTTCCCTTCTCTGCTGCCTCATGGCAGGAGCTTATTTAAATAAAGCCTGCAAAAATCGCTGCACATCCCTTCTTGCCACTGTCTTTCCTTTTCTTACTTGTGCCTGTGACTGCACATGCTAACAGGCATTAAAAGTTTATAGATTCTGAAGTCTCTCACAATCCTGTGGGGACCTGTCACACAGACAGACTCACATGGGTGGAAAGAGAGCAATTTTGCTGTAACTTATGGGGACTTGGAGTTGCTCATATTTTATAAAAAATGTATGGACCTTTTCATGTATTTTTTAGCCAAGGTTCATTTCAGAAGGAGTAACAAAATTTGGCTTAAATTCTGCCTTTGGGGCAGTAAGGAAGAAAAAAAATCAGTGGTTTTTTTTTAATTGTAATTTTTAGCATTGGTACTGCAGATTTGTTGAACAATTCACACTCTTACACACCAGCATGACTACTGACCTACAGCTGGTGCTCTGAGACTGAGGGTGTTAAAAGCTTCTGAAATAGCAAGTTGTCTTCCTAATTGGCTCAGGTGTATCAGTCGTGCAGAGCTGGTTGTAGCCAGGTCCCCAGAGACTGCTTACACAGTGTGGCTGTCTCACAGGTTTTGGCTGCACAGCTCCTCTGTGCTTGCACTTTATCACATTGGAGCTCCTAGGAGACTTTGAGCATGTACACTGTTTATTTCCCTCTAGAGATGCACTACCTTGCTGCCATGCCCTGCCTTGTGTTCATATGTGGGATGAAAAGTTGTAGACCTTGGTCAATAACTTTTGCATCAGTTTCTAGTGTTCATTTTTCCTGAAAAAAAAAATTTGAATTCCCTGTCCCTTCTCTAAAGATCATTTATGACTGCATATATTGGCTCAATCACTTTTAATATAAGAAATTAGTTATGAGGCACTGCAAGCTGTCTTCCTAATCAGAGAGAGAGCAGGACAAATGGAAAAGAGAAAGGACTTGGGCAGCACAGATTAAATCAGTATGTTCAGAGAGAGAAAGGATTCCTGGAACTGTGCTTCTGAAGGCTCATGAGGTCCATGCAATGCCTCAGCTCATTTGCAGGCATGCTTCAGCAGAGACATCTGACAATGACTTCTTTTCTAGGATGGTGGTGGGAAGCTCAGGGGAGACAACAAAGTCTTTTCAGCCACAACAACAGTTACCATCAATGTGGAGGATGTTCAGGACACTCCTCCTATGTTCATCGGGACTCCCTACTATGGATATGTCTATGAGGACACGCTCGCAGTAAGTTCTGGTTTTCATCTGTGGGAGAACAAGTACAGCCTTTCCCATCTTACTCAAGGTGGCCCTAAGTTTTCTAGCATAGGCTTTGCTGGAAATAGGACCTAAACTCTGCTTTGACTCCTGGGTGAACTGAGCTGACCAAATCTCACACTTGCTCTTCCTTATGTCTACTGCAAATTTGCCATGCAAGGCTTCCTGTTTTTTCCATTGAAGTCAAAAAAGATTCTGCCCATTTACATTGGTCTGAACCCAGACAGTGGCTAAGAGCTCTTCTGTAGCTCAGACCTCCAGAGGCACTTGGCTGAAGGCTTAAGCAGGCTGCCAGTCACCTCACCTGAACACATCATGCTTAAAAGCCTTTGTGTGTCTGTTTGCTCTGTGGTCTCACAGTGCTTTTATTTTCTAGCTCAGATCAATCTGCTACCAACAGTTAGTTGTGCAGGGTGCAGGCAGAATTTATGCCCAAATACTCCACACTCTCTGTTGTCCCATGGACATCACCTGGGGAGAAGCAACCCTGACATCCCCAAAATGCAGGGTGCTTTCTGCTCAGTGATGTCCGGTTATGCAGGATGGACCAGGAATGCCTCCTAGGCCTAAACTCAACCAGATTATCAATCAAGCAGGGACATAATTAGGAGAACCAGTCATTTTCAGACACATATTCTTGAAGCTGCAAACTAATTAATTTTCTCTACATCTAAGCAGTGACATGATTGTGTATGGATTAGCTTTCACCCTGATACATAAGATTTAGTAAAAATTTTCTTCATATATAGGACAAGAAATGGTATCTACCCATAAAATTACCCAACATTAGGCTATTGATCAGTTTAGCAGTGTGATTGCACTCTGTTTGTTTGACCTTCCCTTGAGTTTCAGGAAAGATTGTGTCTTACCTTTCTATCCAGAAAGGAACACTGCAGCCCATGCATGAGATATGCTGCAGTTCACTGCAGGGCAGAGAAGTAAGGCCTGTGTACTTTGCAAGTGTTTAAAATGGATGATATTATGTATATTGATTTATTCTGCATAGTTACATATAGATCTTGAAATAACTATAAGGGTGCATACAGGAATTAGTGTTTACTATGGAAATGAGAATCAATAAATGTTAATTACATCCATCTTGAGCTCATAACTTACATTATGATATAATGATGGAAGCACAAATCTGTCCTTCCCTCTGTGGGTTTTACCATTAGAATGAACTCCACAGAGAAAGAGGCAATAGCTGATTTTAGTGGTGTTTGTGTATTTGGTGTTAATTTTGTAAACTTGCTTCTTTTCTCCTTTGGTGGAGTTGTCAGGATTTACAAGTACTCTGTCACCTTCAAAGGGACTGCACTGCATTTTGCCCAATAGGCACATTTTATTGCTGCTACCAGCATAAACAATAATAAACACGGTTCTTTATTTCCAGTTGCTTTAACAGAGCCTTGCTCTTGTTTGAAAAATTCACTCAAGGGTTGTCATGAAAATATTCCTTGTTGCCATTTGTGATTCACTGACAGTTTCTTCAGTGTTCCTCGGTTCTGCAGCCTCAAACAGAAACACTTTAGTTCAGAGGCCTGAATTGTACAGCTCATTGCCACTTGGGTGAGCATTTTAATGTGACACTTATCATCCCTCTGAGCTGATAGGAGCAGTCACATGAGCCAATAGGTCCTCAGTACAAATTCTGTATGTATGGCCCACGGCCACGTTACTTGTGCAGAAAGACAGACAGTGAAGGTTTAAGGGCAGTTAAATCACCATCATTTTCATTACAATTTTATATCCTAGATTTTCTGTGGACCAAGTTGTTCTGTGATCTCTGTTTGCTTCTATTGCATGTCTGAACTTAATTAGGAAGAACCAAAGTGACCCAATGACTTGTTGGCAACTGCCTGTGTCTCAGCACACGGTGTGGCCATGGGGCACAGGAGCATACACAGAGGCAGCCTGAGGGAATCTTGGTAGTGCCCCAAACTCAGCTTTGGGTTTCAGATTGGCTGCTCCAAATTTTGTGGCTCCAGGCAGGGGTCCTTGGCTGCAACTTCCAACCATTCCTGTGACCAGCCAGCCCCCAGGGCTGAGGCACCCATGGCCTGACAGGGTATACAGCCATTTCCCCCAGAGCAGTGGGCACTAGCCCTTTTTGTGCTCCCCATGTGGCACAAGCACAAGTGTGAACTCTGCCCCCAGCCCTTCACTGCAGAAATACTTGCAGGAGTTCAGTTTATTAATGTGCAGCTGCAATTTCACTGCTCTGATCTTGGCACACAGACTGTGATTTCCTGTTTCTCCTCAGGGCTCTGAGGTCCTTACTGTTGTTGCTCTTGATGGAGACAGAGGAAAGCCTAACAGTATTCATTATTGCATCGTGAATGGTGAGTAGGCTTGTCTTGTATGAAATTTGAAGGGCACTCAAAACTCCATCTGGCATTAAATTAGAACAGAATATGCTAGAGTTTAATAAACCTGAGACAAAATCTCAGGAAATAATATCATGTACTTCAAACAACTTCAGGGCCCTGTCTAGCAGAGGGTAGCCAAGATTCAATTCAGTGCATTTCAGTATCTTCACAGAACTGTGCTTGGAGCTGTTAATGTTGCTGATTTGTTAGGCATCAGTAGCCTGCTTGTCATTTCAGAAAGTGTAAAGTGAGGTTCATTCTTCTGAGCATCTCTAGCACTTAATCTGGGAGGTGAGATAATTCATTGGGAGACCCAGACATGGCATTTGGAGGGATATTTTTATTAATACAGTGATGAAAGTGCCTAACAGTCAAACCTCTGATTTCTTGGGAGAAATTATATTTACCAGTGAAGAGACATTGGCTGTACCCTGAAGTGGAAGAAAAGGATGCTATCAGAAGATTGATGCTTCCCATGAGCTATTCTGAGAGTGTCTGTCACACATCTTTTAATAGCATGAATGTGAAACTTAGTGGAATTGGTGATTCATTAGGTGGTGAAGACAACAGCTTAGAGCAACTAAACTCCAGGCTACAGCTTTGGGAATTTTGGGTTTTATACACTCTCCCTTCCACAACAAGGCTTCTGTAGCAACTGGGCACAACAGCTCACAGGTGTGAAAGATCCCAAAACTTCCTAAGAGAAATCTGAGGTGTAGTTGAAGAGCTATGGAGTAAGTGCTTCATTGTGTTGAATGATCTAAACAGCCAGAACAGAGAGATAGAGATGAGTTTTTGTGTTGGTGTGGGATGAGACCTATGCTGAGGTTCCTTTTTAATGTGAGGAAATAGGTAAAAGAAAGGTAGAAACATTGAGGAAAAGAGAGTTGCAGAAGACAATGGATATAAAATGAGAAAAAGTATAAAGAAAGGTGCAAAATGAGGAGCAAGAACAACTAAGTGGGATGAAAATATGCTAAACAAGGGAGAAATTAAGTAAGGAGAACAAGTGAAGGCAGAAGAACCAGGGAAAACATCAAAGGGAAATAAGATTAATAAGGAAAGATACTGGATTACCAAAGAAAATAGAGAAGGATCAAAAGAATTCTCTGGGATAAAAAAAAAAAGGTAAGTGTTTAGCAAAGAGTGGGAAAGGAAGATTGAAGAGGATAACAGATAAGTAGAACAAAATATGACTTAATGGGGAGCAGCTTTTCTCATGCCCTTTAACAAAGGGCTTTGTGTGAAATGGAAAAGAGGGGAAGGGAATATGCTTTTAGTGCATAGAAAGTTGAAAAACAGAGAATAGAAGATTGCAACAGGTTTCTGCCCCTGCACCTCAGACACTGGCATTATTTTTGACAAGCCATTATTCCAATAACTGCAGGTTGGGATGTTAAAGGACAAGAAAACACTAACAGCAAACAGGAAATTGTTTGTTCTTAATAAGCATTTCTTATCCTAGGAGTATGGGATAATGATAGAAAATGCTCCAATCTTCTGAACGTGCTGTCTGGAGGAACACACATACACACATGTACTTCTGGTTACCAATTTCCCTGGGATAACTAGACAATAACAAGAAGTATGGTGGTTTGAAACCACTATTGACTTAAGCAGCTTCTCAGTCAGAATGTATTTTGCAGGCCAATGTATCTTAATAATTGGATATTGTGAGTCAATATCTGTTCAATGTTGTATCTAGAGTGCTTTAATGAAGTTGCAGTTATTGTGGGTATCGGCTAAAGAGGATACTATCGGATTGTTTAAAAATCAGCATTGGGAATGAGGTTGAGGAAAAGAAGAATGACTGGGCTTTCAGGTCATCATCCTTTATTTCTGAAGGCTTGATCTCCTACATTTAAAGGAATTTCCTCTTTTCCTTTCAATGGTAGACTGCCACAAAGCACAGATGTGGCCAATACTGTACATGAGGCAGTCCTTCCTGCCCTTGGCTGTGATGTGAGCTGGTTCCTGACATCCTGGTGAGACACTGCTGCCTCTCTGCAAGCTGGCATTTGCTTCAGATCAAATATACCAATCTCAATAAACTGCTGCCTGGAACTGGTATTCTCTCCAGATTAATGGAAGTTGGGTAGCAGTAGCAAAGTCAGCTGCAGCCCTGTCCTGCCTCTGTCAGACTCTGCCTCAGTTCAGAAACCTTGGTGTTTACCCCAGATACTCCAAAAACCTCTTATTGTTCAGGAAAGCTTTACAACAGTTGTTGTTTTTCTGACAACTCAATGTTTAAGACCAGAAGACACTTCTCCAGAGATGTTGTCTGAGGGAAGTGATTGTGTTTATTTTTAGCAGATTGTCAGATTTCTCACCTTAACTGATATTAGTGAGAGAAATGTTCTTGCTTCTCAGAGACTTAATTAAGCATTTGCTCATTACAATGACAAATTTCTATTTTTGTCTAAACTAGCATATGAAGAAGACAACATAATAAAAACTAACACCAAATTTGCATTGGTAATGCCTGGATGCTGAGGCTTGAGGGAGGCCCAAGCAGGATGGGAAGAGGAAAATGCTGACAGTTGCCTATAAGGGAAGAACTCCATTGAGCCATTCCTAGGGGAGGAAACCCTTTTAGGCCCTCATCTGTGTTTTCATCTCACTGTGACCAGTCATAGAAATTCCTCATTTTTGAAGAGTGGCTTCAGATCTACTGATAATTATGAATACACATATGGACAAAGATGTGCTTAATGAAGTGTAAAGTTGATTTGCCCATGTTTGTTCAAAGAAAGTGTGGCATGTAACTAGAGCATCTTGGTTTCACTGCAGGAAGTGAAGGTTCATTTGAAATCAGCAACACAACTGGAGCCATTTCTGTGATAAAAAGCCCAAATCAGCTCAAGAAAGAAGTGTATGAACTAAAAGTTAAGGTAGGTACTGTGCCCACTTTAAGACTATTGGTCTAAAATGCCATAAGTAGGCATAATTGTCGAAAATTGTGCAATTCTGACTTTACCTGTTTCAGAAACTACCTCCTATATTTAAGCAGAGTGCCAGATAGAATAAATCAGCACTAATTGCTTTTGTTGGGATGTTGGATATTATTGTTGGGATATTTAGTATCTCAAATTACTTCTTTAAAATGAAATCATCTTGTCCTAATTTCATCTCTGAGGCTAGACAATCAATGTGCTTTACAGTCCATAGATACCTGTTCTCTGTGTTTCCAGATTTTATTGCTAAACTGGGAACTAATGTCTGGAAACCTCCATGTAACAGAAATAACAGACAGGTAACAGTCAAGTCTATGATTAGCAATAGGACTGGGCCAGTTCATGCAATGTCATGTCAGCATCCACTCCTGAGGCACTCATCAGCCATATACCAATACATGCTCACTCCTTGATGAGCTAACACCTTGGTGAGCTAACACCTTGGTGAGCCAGTACTCATGTGACAGGCTGTGTTATTTTAAGCAGTTTCTAAAGAAAATGTGTTTAAAAATGCAGAATTAAATCGTGAAGACTGTATCAGCTTTCTCCAGCACACTGGAACTGCACATTATTGTTATGATAAAGACAATACTGGCTTAAAGGCAGCTTTGAAGTTGCACACTGCCAGAACCAGTGTGCAGCACCCCAAAGGGCACTTGCTTGCTCCTGGGCTCAAGCAGTGAGTTGTACCTGGGAGAACACAGAGTTCTCAAGGGCTCAGTTAAACTCAGGCACCATTTTTGACTCTATCAGCTCTGCTTCACTGAGTCTCTTACCACTCCCCAGATGCAGAATGAGTTAAAGCCTTGCATGCTTTTCTGATCTCCTAATTATGTATGTGGTGACCCAGAGCCCATGCGGGCTGCAAAAGCTGCTAGAGAAACAAAAAGCATGTTAGATATAGCTGTTGGGACAAAAAACACCAGCCAGCTTCTGTCCTGGCAGAAGAAACGTCTCAGGTTCAATCCAGTGAATCAGGCTGCATGTTGCAGTTGTTGAAACCCAGACAGATTTGATTTTGTGGTTCAGAAAAATACTAGCGGGGTTTGCCTGTCTGTCTAAATTATATCTACTTTAAATTAAGCTCATCTAAACATCACAGCAGAATTTTGAATCAGACTCAATCTCAAAAAAAACCCATGCACTTCTTCAAATATTTACCTAAATGCCACAAGTGGAGTTTTTCTCACAGTATTAAAGGCTGCAGTCCTTGCAGCAATGAGACAGTGAACCGCCTGTGGTACCACAGCAAATTTAAACATTGTCTTCCTTTTTTATTCTATCAACACTTTAGGCAAGCAATTACCTTACCTCTATTGGATTGTTTTTAGAGAACTGTTTTCACCTAGAGTGAGTTACTGAGATGACAAAATTAGAGAGAGATTCAACTGGTGCTCTACTGGGGGTGGTTTATTACCATAATCTTCTAATCATCATAAACTTCAGTGTGAAATGGACTGAGGTTTTAAAGAAATATAAGTCTATCAATCTTCCTACAAGTTAGAGTGCTTTGTGCATGTGGAATAATACCTGAACATGAATCTCAAGAAGGAGAAAACTGCTTCATCATTCTTTTCTTTCTCTTGCCTGCTGCAGGCATCAGAAGTCAGTCAGGAAGGTGACATCTCTGAGTACACATTTGCCACGGTGACCATACGGGTGGTGGACCTCAACAACCACCCACCAACATTCTATGGAGAAAATGGTCCCCAGAACAGGTTTGAACTGACCATGTACGAGCATCCCCCAGAAGGTGAAATCTTAAGAGGATTGAAGATTACAGTCAGTGACTCAGATCAGGTAAATGGAAACTATGCAGATTTTCCTATTTTCCTAAAGACTAGAAATAGCTCTCAGATGGAGAAGTGTCATTTTAGAAACTCAACTGTTTCACCTGTATTTCTTAAAAGCCTAGGACAGACAAAGTAGTTGTAGGGTCCAGTACCAGAGAGACTGGACCCAGGAGTTCATTTGCTCTGTCACATATGGTTATGCCAATGGGAAGGGTGGTCCTAAACCTGCAGCGCAGGTCTTGTGGCAACTGAAGTTGAACAATCCATATGAATTTCCCTAACCACTGGTTGTGTTCATTTGTTGCCAGTGTATTCTCTGAGAACATATTCCCTTTGAAGATTTTCTTGAAGGTTCCAAGCCCTTTAGTAACTTCAGGTGCAATAACTGTCTGCATCTTTTTCTGGCCTTTATGTTACAGTCAGGGTCTGCAGTGCATGTTTTGATTAGTCATTCCCACCGGAATTATATTTTTAGGTATTCTTAAAAATTATGCCTGAGCCAAACTAACTCTTACCAGATCCAGGAAAAGGAAAGAAGTCTCCATCCATCTCAGCCTGCTGTCTAACTGACCTGTGCTGCCTGTAGGTACTAGGTTGCCATGGGACCCCTAAGCTAAATACTGTATGAACGACATCCATCTGAGTTAGCCTCAGGTTAGGTAGTGACAAGAAAAAAGCTTAATGCATCTGAGAATTGTATTACTATTGGAAAGAACTCTCTTCTCTAACTGTGCTCAGTATTGTGCTGGTTTGATGGTATTGTACTTTATCAAACCCACTGGCTTCTTCCCCCTCCCTCCTGCTGCTCTGCAGCGAGCAGATAAATGACTGCTTTCAAAGCAGTGCTATGTCTATCCTGCTATTGTCATGGGGGATGGTGCTGCAGAAGGGGAGAAACAAAACCCATCTCTTCTCTTTAGAGACAAAATATATATCTAGGCTGACAAAATATTCAGGCTGCAAGTTAGGCTATAAAATAAGCAGAAAACACTGATAAATACACTATAGATTTCTCAAGAATCTTCCTAGTACAGTGTAAGGCATCACACTGGGGGAGGGTGGGTTGCTTTCCTTCTAAGGCAGAGAATGTAATATTTTCCCTTCCATACAAGATAATTCCATAGAGAAGAAAATTAAACATGTGTCTGTCTCTGTCACAGCTGCTAGAAGCTCTTTGTTTTGGGGGAGTGGATGATACAAGTGAGGAGGAGGAGGAAGCTATGTTTAAGGTCTGGTTTAGGCCTACAGTTTGATGGAATTGCCATGCTTACTTGTAAGAAAATTATACAGGAATTTCTCTCCCAGATCTCTTCAACATGACTTAGAACTCAGTGCTGCTGTTCCCTTAGTCATTCCTGCCCCTTCCAGTCCCATGGCTGTCTGCCTGGAGATATGCAGCATCCTGGCTGCAACCAGATCTGGGTTCCGTGGACATCAGTGGCAGAAATCACTCAGCTGTTGGAGGGAGGCAGTTCTCTCCCTGTCCCATGCCACTCTTATAGTCGTGTACAGTCCCACGTGCCACACACTTTGTATGACTTTGTCTGACTTTGTGTTGTCAGACTGTCCACTCTTCCTTTCAGTACTATTTTCCACAGTCCAGCAGCTCTGGCTTTGTGTGTTTGGCTTTGTCACCCAGCAAAAGAGAGCCTGTTATCATCTCTGTAGTTGGGGAGTGGGTTTGTGTGACCAAACAACACAGACCACTGAGTTTGGATACAAGGTCATTCCCTTAAGGGACTACTGCTGAATACTTTTTCTCTTGACATGAGCTAGGGCTGCTCAAGAACTGCTCATAACAAGCTCTCCAGGGATACAGCTGAAACTAAAGTTGTCCTGTTTGAAAGCTATTATTAGAAATTCATCATCTCAGGCAGAATGTGGCACCAGGCAGGCAGTGAATCTGGCTGTTTGTCACAGTGTAAACATGACACTGAGAAATTGGTGAACCCAGAGAGTTTGGTGAGGTAGGCTCAGTTAATTTTTACATCTTCCCTGTAAGGCAGAAACATGATGATCCCCCTTTCATCTTTTCTTTTACATGCTCCAGTTTGGTTTGAAAGAACTAGCCTGGCCAGCTGGCTCTGGCTCACTCTTCCCAACGTGCACACACACAAGTTGTGATAACCCTTTAGATACTGCTGCTTCCCATGTTCTCTGGCTAGAAGGTTTATCCATGTAATGAGATTTGCCTTCCCACTTCACAAGGAGCTGTCAAGTGTGTGTCAGATTTTGTCCTGCACAAGTGGAGCTCCTCTCTACCCACAAGTGCATCAACTTCCAAAATCTTTGGTGTTTCCATCTCTGGGCTAGCTTAATCCAATCAGTGTAAAATGTGGAGTACCACCTCTGTCTGGAAATTGGCTGTCACACATCATGCAGAATGCATGAAGAACTCCCACAGCATGTGAGTTATTAGGACACAGGCCGGACATGGGAAGTGTTCAAGGCCAGGCTGGATGGGGCTCTGAGCAACCTGGTCTAGTGGAATGTATCCCTGCCAGTGGCAAGGGGGTTGAAATGTGGGGATTTCCAATGTCCCTGCCAACCCAAACCATTCTATGAGACTGGGTTTGTGAGGGTTGTGCTGTTCTTCCTTAAGCAGTTCAGTTATCTTTCCTTGGTAGGAAGAGGCAGGACTTCCCTGCCAATATGCACATGGTGTCATCTCTGCCTAGCTCCCAGTGTGTGGCACGAAACCAAGGCTGCTTGCCACAGATTCCTCTCTCAGCCAGGCCTGCTGCAGGGTTTTTCCATTATGACTGAAAGAATAACCAAGCTTGTCAATCTATTTTAAGAAAAGCTGTGTCTGTCTTGTGACTAGGGCTGGAGGGATTATACAACTAAGCTTCTTAGTGATCTCCTGCCCAGGGGATGGAGCAGAGGGCTCTCACCAGTAAAGCTTGTTCTCATTTTATATAGTTTGAAGAAACAGAGCAATCTAGGCTGTAAGAAATGTGACATTACTGAAAACAATCAATGACGTATCTGCTTTCATTAACAGGGAGCCAATGCTAAATTCAACCTCCGTCTTGTTGGACCTGGTGGCATCTTCCGAGTGGTTCCTCAAACTGTCCTGAATGAGGCTCAGGTTACAATAATAGTGGAAAATTCTGCTGCTATTGACTATGAAAGCTTCAAGGTGTTAACCTTCAAGGTATTTCTGCTTTCCAGGTCCTCTTTTTCAGTATATACAGTATGAGTATGGTGGCTTTTGTATCTGATGGGATTTAGCTTCTTAATCCACACAGAGCATTCTGATGCATTATCAGAGATACGATAGTCCGTGTAAGGGAAACTCATTTCTGCCCCTGGTTCACCATCTTCACAAGGTTTAATGGATGCCTCTATGGACTGGTTTAGTCCAGTCAGTGCAAAATGTTGATTTTTGTGTCTCTCTGGAAGCTGTACATGTTGGTGGCTCTGAATCATTCTAGACTGAACCCTCAGGGTGTTATTTCTGCACTCACAATGATACATTCATAGGATGAAATCCTAATTTCTCTGCAGCGAGAACTTTACCTACTTAGTGCTAAGTAATTTGATTCATGATCATGCTTTTGGATGTTGGCAGCCTGAAGACCCCAGCTGACTGGAAGATAATTCCCCAAAATTGCTCACTGGCTTTGTCAGAGTCTATTGCAGGCTGACCTGAGGCTCACCCATGCTCTAAACCAGCCCTGCAAGAACGAGTCTCATCCAAAAGCTGGAACCTTGCATTACCACCTTCCCTGATGGATTTTTTGGCTCATCAACAAGATAATTAAGTAGTCTGGTTTTCTGTCAGCTGCCTCTGAACATGAGTGTAGATGTTTCAGTTCTGACTGCAAAGAACTGCATAGACAATCCCTGTAATCATTAAAAAAAAAAAAAAAAACCTGCCAAAAAAATCTAGGTGAGTATTAACATATGCTGATTTTGTAATATACAGAGAGGGACATTTCTTGCACAGTCCAAAAGCCAAAATTCCACATTTTTGTTCTCCCCCTTACTGTACAGTTTTCTTTGTGTCCTTATAGCAAGTTTCACTTCAATACATTTCAGTCCTCTTCTTTGAGCTTTATAATTATAGATGCTACAAAAATATAAGGCATCATTACTGTATTAAAGTGGAAGATTCTGAAAGGGCCATAAAGTGCTACTGAAACTAACTATAACAAGCACACATTTATTCAGGTTAAACAACCAAAAGACCAGTAAAGGAGTTACACATGGTTTCCTCATGAATGCCAATAGAAATCAAAGTAGCTAATGTGATTTCTGTGAACACCAAAAGAATTAATTATCAGGAAAAAGGGTATATATTTTTACAGCTTAAGCAGTTATTCACCTTTTTTTTTTTTTTTTAATTATTTGCACTGAAGAAAGACTTTCCCAAATTATTTCCACTGGAGACTATAAGACTTGGCTTAAAAAGTGCAGCCTTTTTCTGGATTCCAAATGGAGAAGGTGCAGATGGATGATATGGTAGCAATATATGGCAGCAAATACTTCATAAAGACCTCATTGCTGGCTTCATTTTCCTGCAAAGTTCAAATCACTTCCTACCCAATTTTAGCTGTCAGTGTAGTCATTCTGGTTAGAATTTTGGATAAAATATATTTCTATTTAATGTGTATCTCACAACAGCTTTGAGAGGTTATCTTCAGGCTTTTGGGTTGTTTTTTTTTTTGTAAGCAAAAAATGATCCCTTTCCTCTAGTTCATTTTTGAAGAGTAAAATGCCAGAGAGTAATTAAAGCTAATTTGTCTGGGAGATGCACTGAAAAACTTTCTGAAGCAAAGGTGACTAGAGAAACCTATCTTCCATTTAGTGCTGGCTTTTAAATGTAGGTGGTAGTCAGGAGTTCCTCCATTTTCAGCTGTCTAAGAGCTCAAATGTGTTTCCCAGAGTATGGCAGCGGTGGTAATTCACACAGTCCCTTTGCCACAGGGGCCACATATTGCTGTCCCACCTTGTTGTGGGCTGCCATGCTTTGGGGGCAAACCTCCTGCCTCCATCTCCTTCAACTTGGAGCACATCCTGCCTTGGCAGGAGCCTGGACATGCTGCAGACACTCACATTTACAGACTGGGACCAGCTGAGGCTGCAATTATCTTCAGCTGCCAAAATCAAGCTCTATTTTAGAAATTTACCTACCACTTTTAAGATTGCAAGTCAGTTTGCTCTTCTGGCAGTTAAGTATGAATTGTTGATATATAGTCCTGTGAGGTAATAGTTTAAAGCTATTTTTTTCTCTCTCTGCATGAAACAAGCAATACAGATCTGCATAAGGCACTGCAGGCAAGTAAGATGACAAAATTTCCTCCCTGAAGGAAGATGTTGTCAGCATGTTGACATAGCGGGACCGTGCTGCTTAAGGAAGAGGGAATAAAAAATTAGTGTAGAAAACAAAGTAAAAATACTGAGCTTTCACAAGGTGTACTAAGATGGGCTGATTGCAGCAGCAAAGATGATTTAACAGCAGACGTCATAATTTAGTAATAGCTCCATGTGCACAATCAGCACTAAGATTTTACCTCTGTACTGCTTTAGGAGCTGAGATTTCTCATGAGGAGGTTTTTGCTGATGTCTGCATGGCTGTCCCTTCAAAAATTCTTTTGCTGTAACACCACTTGAGACTCCCAAACACAAAAGTTAGCACAGCAATGGAGTGACCAGGCTCCCCTTTTAGAGCAGATGTTCCTGCAGTAATTGCAAGCAATCCTTTGAGATTCATTTCTTCTCTTTATTTTATTAATGTCCACACAGCAGGCACAGCTCTAGGAGATGACACTGAGATAGCCTCTCTACTTGAACAGCTCCCCACCCTCTGCTTTCACCTCGAGGTGGTACAAATGTGTCCAAATCTGGCAGAGCAGAGGCTTGATCCCAGCGTGTCCCCAGGCACTCGGTGGTGCCACTGCTGGGGAACATCACTCGCCCGCCCCGCGGGCCTGGGCACGGGAAGGAGGAGCTGCCACGGCACCTGTGGCAGCCCTGCTGCTCCTGCCAAAGCTCACCTAGGCACTCCCTCTTTGTGGGAGCTCCTGGGACACCTCTCCTAGGAATTAAAACCCCTGCAGGCAGATTTTTCAGCTGAGCCTCTTAGATCTCAGTTCATGTCCTGCTCACTAGTCTATTAGTGGTGTGCTGTCTTCTTAGGGCCCTCATGCTTTGTGTTAACTATGTCTCTGCCCAAGCATGAAAACCAAGCATTAGACCATCGTTTTTGGTGTTAGCCATTTGGGCTCAGCCCCCACAGAGCCCAGGACTGATGGCCTAGTGCCGATCCTGTGTGATGCAGCCACCCATGGGACAGACACTGTGAAGTGTCTCTCAGTACTCATGGTTGAAACTGCTCTTTCTTGCTCAGCCACAGACCACCTCAGCTTGCTGCTGTACCAGCTGAGGCATCCTACTGATGCTCCCCAAATCCAGTAGATTTTGATCAGTAAGGAACAGACAGATACAGTAAATAGTCAGTTTACTCTATGTGATTGCCTGTTCTTTCAGATGAGCAGTTATAAGAACGTGTAATGTCAGAGAGCTCTGTTCTCCTCAGAGACAGTGAGGCAATTCAAAAGCCCCTATGAGTATCTGATAAAGTCCTAATCAGCATGAGGCAATGAAGATAGAAGTGCCAAGAAGTTGGTAGTAGAAGTCCTCACAATCTTTGGGAAATGGGATTGCGAACCATCCAGCATTTGGGGTGGGAGTAATGCTGCTTCAAAACAAATGATTCCCTCATCTTTTTACCCTGCTTGGTGCAGTTTACTGTTCCTGATTTCTTTTCCTGATGGAGAACTTCCTTTACAAAGGAATTAAATGTATGTGGTTACTGAAAATAATTAAGTGCTTATGTTTCCTGAAGTTCCAGAAACTGCCCAGGGATGATTGTTTGACAGCTTCTGTTATGGCTTTTAGATGTGTGTTGGTTAGTTATGTTAGTTATGACTAGTCACTTCTGTCACATGAGGTCAAATATGAATACACAGGTCTGAAGGCCTCTCCCCACAGCTTGATTGCCCATTGCAAGCAAGCACACACAAGCTGAGGCTGCACGCTGACCTGGCTCATCATCTCCCTGGTTCTGAGCTGTCTGGTCCAACCAGGCTAAAATGCACTAATGTGCCATGGGTGGTGGAGGAAGCTCCTTTAAGAGAACTAACAGTTGCTTTGTAGTGATTTCTGGTTTTTCTCTTCCTAGCTTCTTGCAATAGAGGTGAACACACCGGAGAAATTCAGCTCGACAGCTGACGTAGTGATTCGCCTGCTGGATACCAACGACAATGTCCCAAAGTTCTCCTCTGACTACTACATTGCCAGGATCCCCGAGAACTCCCCAGGGGGCTCCAATGTAGTTGCTGTTACAGTAAGTTTCATTCACCTCTTAGGAATTTTTCTCTTTTCTGGGTGTCTCTGGAGACAGTTCAAGCACGTTAAAAATAGTGGATAGGGCAAATAGCAAATCTTACTCAACATTTGACTTCTGGACCAAACTCCAATTCCTTTCCAGAATCAACCAAAAAAAAATCACTTTGGGAAAAAATAAAGTTTTACACAAATATTATTTAGAACAACAAGGGCCATCTGCTTTTAAGACAAATCACATGGCCTTTGGGTATTAAGAAAGCCTCAGCCAAATCCAAGTGTCCAGTGGGAAGATTCACTGCCTAAGTGGAATTGGATTTACTGGATTTGCTTGCTTAAGTATGAGTAAAAAGAAAACAAGATGGCTGCTTGGTCAGTATTAGTTCCTCTTGGGAGGAACCTGACTGCTAAAGGTATTAATTATTATTAAACAGTTAATGTGGGCAAGAACATAAAATTAAAGTGCTTAGGACTGGGGAAAAAAGATCCCTATGTATGTATCTTCTCACAGTGGGAAAAATATGCCTATAGATTTTCCAGTATCTTGCATTTTCATGCAAAGAAAGACAGGGTATTACATGGGCCCTGAGTGCTGAAGGAGCATTTCCAGCTGCCTCTCTCTAATGCAACTGCTGAGACTGGAGACAGCCCTCATGTCACAAAGCCAAGAAAGCTCCTGGCCACCTGGGCCTTGGTGGGGGATGCAAGTCACCTTGCAGAGGCCACACAGGTAAGGCTGGTGGAGGCAGATTGCCAGAGATCTCCAGCAGAAGCTGGCAACACAGACAATTAAATAATCAGAATACTAAAGTACTGAAGGCAAATTTTAGCAATGAAAGAATCAAAGAACTGAAGCATAAACAATAGAGAAAAGGTTATTGCTTTAAACTAATAGGAAATCTATTAGAGACTCTTAAACATTGCTATCTTTGAGGTAAGAGGAATAAAAAATTTCAAGGATGTGGACAGCAAAAAAAAAAAAAGGTATTTAAAAAATATTTACAGAAGCAACAAAACTTCTGAGCCAAAGTGCACAGGAAGGCGTAGCTGAGGAGCCCATGTAAAATTTAGTTATGTGCTGTCAACTCAGTACTTGACCCAGATTCACAACTATATGTGAAAATTAAGATGTTTCAAGTACTCAGAACAGCAATTCTGGAAGAAGTCCCAGGTATGCAGATGTTTTAAGTAAAGTTAGACAGTACTAAACTAGGCTGTGGTCAAAATTATGGGGTGAGAGAATATGACAAGATCATGCCAAAGAACAAAACTTCATCTACCAGTAGGGCTGCAGGTGTGTTATGCTAATCATGCAGGAATCAAAGACATTATTCCAGTTCTCAAATATTGAAACAGGAAGATGAACTAATCAACCACCACCACCATCAATTTTGATGGCCAGATACAAGGGTATAACACCTCAGAGCTATCAGAGAAGCAGGAACTTATGGAAATAGCTGCTACCAAATCAATAGCTCTCCTAAGCCTGAGCTAAGAAAGGAAGCCAACAAGAGTATGAAACAAAGATATCATCTGGTAGTAGTATCTGCATTATTAAAAGTCACACAGGCACAAGAGTGATTAAAAAATAAACAAAGCTGAAATACAACTTATAGATTGAAACATTTGTTATTCATTACTATAAATCGACTCAATTAAACAAGCAGAAGCTTAAAAATACAATATATAAAGTAAATAATTTTGTCTAGGAAATATTCATTAATGTTTAACTGATAATTAGGAAGGTTTAAGAGCTGGCAGTGTGTTCATGTCATTGAGATTATCTCCATCACAGGAGGATGAGGTAACTGTGGATGGATGGGGCCATCTAGCGTCGCTCTCCCTGCCAGAGCCCCCGGGCACCAGGGACAGCACTCCTGGGACTGGCAGGGACAGTTCCTGCTGTTAGGTTGTGCACTTTCTAGAGACATATTTGCTCATATTTGCGGTTTCCCACTAAAAATGTGAGGGAAAAGAGATTGAAAAGCATTTGGGCCTGTTGTTAAAAATGAAACAGTTCTTTTTCCATTTTACTAAAGTGAAACTCTCTTTTTTTCTTTTCTTAAGGCTACAGATCCCGATTCAGGGCTTTGGGGAGAAATCAAGTACTCTATCTATGGAACAGGAGCAGATCTGTAAGTAACAAGTATACAAAGAAAACTACATAACGTCTAAGCAGAGTTCTAAAATAATTTCAAAAGAAAGCTAACAGGCTCATTCTTGGTCTGCTCATTTCCAAGGACATTTATGCCATGCTCTTTGTGAGTTCTGTGAACACAACAACCATAAAGCTACTGCAATCATTAAACATATGCTTCATGAACCCAAGGAATTCTACCCAAAAACCCTCGAAGAGAAGTATCAATACACAGGATTTGTTCAATCACCATTTCAAAAACACTTGAAAGAAAAAGAGAGGTTTTGGTCTAGTTGTGAAAAGTCAGTTCTACAAAAAAATAATTTCTTGTTTTTTTTCCCCTTCCCTTCCCATATGGCTTTACAAATAGCTCTTGTCAAGATAAATCAAGGAAGACAAGATATTCAAGGATACACACTTCAGCTCTGGACGTCAGCTGCACTGGGTGTTAAAAGCCTTTCATATATTTAAACATAATAGTCCTGCATCAGGAAAAAGGGAACCTGATGCTAACTTGATTTGGTAATAATGCCTCCCTCCCTCTCTCTGTCTCTGGAGACAGTGCAGGGGGTAGAAGATCTTGAAACACTGATTCCTTCACACCATGTCCATCCCAGCTCCCAACATGACTGGGATCTGTGACATGGGTGTCACAGATATTCCTGCTGGAACCTGCATTCTGCAGGGCAGATGCTGGAAATGAATGAGCTTTTCAGGCACTCATCTCAAGAATCTTTTTTCCTCTGTACTTTATCCACCTGGAGCTAAAGCTGAACTCTTGTTGTTAAAGTGAAAGCCGTTTAGGAGGCACAAAGTCCAAAATCCAAGATGTTAAGGGTGAACCTCTTCTGTAGCCAGAAGGATACACATATGGGAGCATTTCCACGATGGATTATTTTGAGCTCTTCACTAAGTCTTTAAGCTAGCTGCTAACTGCACAGAGAGAAGCAAGAAAAGGTCATGTCATGCAGGCAGACCTCTTAGGTTTAGAATGTAGCAGTTGGTGGAAAGAAGCTTGAGAAGGTTGTTGACAAAGGATTTACAGGGAAAAAAAAATCTAAGTGCAACTTTATTCTGATTGGCATTATGGGGATGCTCAGATTCACTGTTCTTCTGCTGTTGAATGAAGAAATTATGATGTGAACTTCTCTTTTCCTTCATAAGTATTTTTGATTGTTTTCCTCATGCCAGAAGAGCATAGCTCTGCGAGGCTGGATTGATTTTCTAGCCCTGGCACCTCTAGATGTGCTGAACACACAGTTTGATGCAGATAGGAGAATTTCAAGTAGAGGCACGATGTTTCTGTCTTGGATATTACATCAGTGGGTGTGCAGTTGTGTGGGAAGAAAGATGAGTTATACTGGAGTAAGAGAAATAGTGTTAAGTGTTAAAAATGAAACCCATCTGATGGTAATCTTACTATGGTAATCCAGGCTGGCAGTGGGAGCACTTCTTTTCTTCCACTAAAATGGGAATGATGAGGGTGCTGTCTGCATGGTTAGGCTGGGCTGGGTGCTGAGGAGATAGCACAGGCACCTGTCTCCTACACACATTTCCACTTCCAGATCTTGGATTTCATCAAAACTTGTATTTGTATTTAACAGGGTTATGAGAACAATTGAAGACTGGATTGCTAAATGCAAGCACTCTCAATTGTATTCAGAGTTGGAATACAGAAAATATTTTGCTACCCTGTGCATCAATCAAAGGAAATATAAAAACTTTCATTTGTTAAAATCACTACTGCTTGGAGCCTACAGTGGCAGTCCATTTTAAAAGGACACTGTGTTGGTATCCTCTCTATAAATCCAAACTTTGGGCTGACACTTTTGACAGTGTCTCTGTAATTACAAATGTGTAAAACTCAACTTGCAACAGATAAATCTGAACACCCACTCCATCCCAGTGTCAGTCTATGGGAAAAATTATTATTTATGGAGAAGTTAATTTGCCCTGTAGTTTGGGAGATTTAAGAGCAGATTTTTTTCCTACCCATTCAGAGAAGTGAAGAGCTTAAATATGATATTCATCACACTTCTTTTAGATATTTAGATGATAAGTCAATCTTCATTTATGCAGGACATAATCTATTACACAGTACTTTTAAACTGAAAAAAAAAGTAAAATTAGGTTTAATGTTTTTCCTTTCAATGCAAGAAAATCACACTGAGCATTTACTGAGGGCAAAGACTTTTAATGCAAAATGCAGCTAAAATGGCACAAGAGTGAGAAATCTATGAAACACTGATAGTTCTCTGGTTTTCAAGCCTAAAGGAACTAGACAAAAACTAGGTAGAGTGAAGGATTTGGAGACATCACCCAGAGAGAAATTAGGTGAAGAGTACCAGTGTCTGGGCACAGCATTTTAGTGTTTACAGCCTGGAGCAAAGGTGGGATCTAAACACACATTAAGCGACCAAAAGTCTTTTCTTGCCTCTTTTCCAGGTTCCTAATCCACCCATCAACAGGTATAATTTACACCCAGCCGTGGGCTGTACTAGATGCTGAAGTGAACTCAAAGTATAATTTCTATGTGAAAGCAGAGGACACAGATGGGAAATACAGCTTGGCTGAAGTGTTTATCACTGTGCTAGATGTCAATGACCACTCTCCAGAGTTCAATGAAAACATCCAGGAAAAGACGATGATCATTGGGTCACCGGTGAAGATAGAGGTGAGCGATGGCACGGTGTGTCACAAAGCAGAGTGCTTTGGAAAAGCCCTGGCTCTGCTGTTTGCTCTCAGGGGTCATGATGAATGTCTGAAAGTTGCCTTTTCTTGCAGCTTTATTTTGCACATCCATTTGGATGTAACAAATGGATTAAAGTGTAGAATTATAGTATTTACTGACTGCTGAGGAGGAGAAATAATTCTACAGGCAGAATATAAAGTCTTGTTACAGTATTTGAACAATCAGCTGGGAGACAGTCCTGGATTATACAGTGATCACAAGAAGCCCAAATAAGATAAGTGAATGAAAGCACAGGGTTTTGAACACGTAACCTTCTTGACACCCCTTTGTGTTCAACCACACAATGTGGTTCCCTTCATTTAGAAGAACCGTATCCAATAATCCAGTGTGGAACAGAAGGTGAAAAAATGCAATGACAATTCACAGGCAGAACATCCTATGTTACACACATTTAAATGCATATCATGAAGCCTGATCACACAACACCTAATGTTAGAAGGATAAATACTACAGCACAAAAATTAAGGCAGCTATAGTTTATGGCATGGAGCTAATCCCATTGTTCTGCATCACTCCACATTTGTCCCCCAACACTGTGTGAGAAGCTCCCAGCTGAGGACCATTTGCATTCCACAGATAGGTTATGGTTCAGTTTTTCCTCTGATTTTATTTCATCTCAAATAGAAATAATTTACAAAGAAAGGAGCCTAGTCCTGCTGGTTTTTACTAGAAAATGTAGCCTAGCTTCCAAGATGAAATGAAAGCAGGCATAGATACTATCGGAAGTGAATGCTCAGAACGCGTTTGTCCTCAGGCAAAGATACAAACAATAAAACCTTTGTTTTTCACACTTCCCCTACCAGGCTATAGACCAAGATGCAGAAGAACCCAACAACATTGTGGATTATTCCATCATGCAAGCAGATCCAGCCAATGTGTTTGACATAGACCAAAGCACTGGGGAAATCAAGCTGAAATCCTATATCCGATCTCTGGACATCATCCACAACATCACAAACAATAAAGACTGCATATGGTCATTGGTGGTCCAGGCCAAAGACCGAGGCTCCCCGTCCTTCAGCACCACAGCAGTTCTGAAGATTGACATCACAGAAGAGGTAAGCAAATGTTCTAGAAAAATCCTTATGAGACACAATCCCTGAAAGGTACCAAAGAGTAGACATTGCTTACTCCATTTCTGAGACTTTCTTGCCAGCTCTGTTTTGCAGAGTATTTTTATAGCCTTGTGGTGAAGTTGGATTCTGCTGCCATAAGTGTGAAAGACATTTTGATCAGAAATATTGCAAAGGTACAAAGGTAGGAGCATAATGTACATGAGTTTTTTGTTAGAGATTGTTAGATATTAATTAAGGTCTGTAGACTTCTGAAAGTGAAGTTAAATCCCAACTGATAAATTTCTGCTGTTTTATTTTCATCCAGAAGAAAAAAAAAAATCATTTTCCCTTACAAAAAGTGAGTGGAAAACAGCTGGTAAAATAAATCAAAGAAATCAACCCAAGTGACGTAGAAAAAGGGAGAAAAAACTCTACAGAAATACTTCTAAGTACATAGAATTTTGGATGAGAGTTTAATAATTGCAGTATTATTAGCAGATGAAACAAGAAGACTCTTTTAGAGTCTTGCACATGTAGGTTGAGATTTTCCTTAGTCCAGCTTTTATGTCAGCTGAAGATCAAGCAGTGATTTATGATGTGCAGCACACGCTTGCACGATTCTTATTTATTGTAACTGCCTTGCCATTCCTTTAACTAGGTACCAGCAGGGAGGAAATGGGCTTTAAAGTAAAAGAGAAACACATCATTAGCCTAACAGTCTCTGGACCACACACATAAACTGGGCAAAGATGTAAATCTCATCCTACAGACAGCAGCTGGCCTTCTCTTTGTTTGGTCACAATGCTCCCACTGCTCTTAGGTCTGTTATAATCTTTCTCTGCTTTCTCCATCTCCTCTTATTAATTGATACTCCATATGAGGCACATTCATATGATAGGTTTTGTACACAGTTCAGAGCCTGCTGGACTGCCAGGGGACTTGGGTCTGTCTAGCAGGGCAGTGCCTGGCATGGGGCTGCCTTTTGGGGCTGGCCAGCCCTGTGGGCATGGGCTGAGCTCGCTGCTGCAGGCTCTGCCATGTGGAGCTGGGGGACTCTGCATGCGGGGTGTTGTGGTGAGTCTACACATTTAGCTGCTCTTACAGATACAAAGGAGATGCTTAACACTTGGATTTCTCATGGAAATGAAGTTTTGGTGGGTTTTATACAACAAACAAGAGTTGCTGCCCATAGCCAAGAGTGGGAGTACTTGCCCTGCCTGCCTTGCTTCCAGGCTTCTCACAGGCTGCACGTTTCAGGAGTGCATGGCAGCGGGTGCACCCAGGCACAGTCCTCAGGCATGTCCCTGCTGGTGGCCACCAGCCTTCCCTTCCCTCCTGGGTGAGCTGGAAGCCTCTCTGTCAGCATGTGGGGCTGATGGGTGTGAGTGGAGGGAGGGTGTCCCACACCTCCCCTGCTGGGGAACAAGGTCCCTGAACCAGCTGATGAAGGACAACTGCAAGGAAAACAAACATAGCTGATACTTTGGGATAAGGAATTTTCTGCATTTCCTTCTAGTGCTTGAAGCAGTAGCAGTACCTGGTGAAAGATGGTGTCTTGTATGAAGTCCCCTGTCTGCTCCCTTTTCTCCCCCTCCAGGGGCACATATTTAGCACAAAGTGAGGGAGAGGCCTCCTCATAAAGTACAAAGGGGAAGCAGAGAGCATGTGATGACATGGATTTTCTCACACACAGTTTTTTTCCTTTTTCCCATGCTCTTCTTGATGCCAAGTCCCAACAGAGAGTCTGAGATAGCAACAGCATCTTCTTTCTTTGAGTAGTTTTCTTCAGTAGGATCTGGGCTACTAATCTACTGTCACATCCTCCATAACCTTTTGTATATGTGTCTATTACTTCTTCCATGGCTTGTAATGATTTGGGTTGTTTGGGTTGGGGGAGTTTTTTATCCCATAGCATGCTATCTTTTTTGCAGAAACAGATTTCAGTTTGCAGGTATGTGAGATGCAAAACCCTTGGTCAGTGCCTGTGTCCCAGGGACAGCACAGTCACTGCTAACACTTTGAAGAAAACAATCTCTTGGTGTAGGCATATTGCTTACACACTCTCTCTCTCTTTCTCTGAGGCTGTTACAGATATGCATTTCATCCCTCTGTGCTCTGGCTGTAGAAAGGCTCTTATTTCACTGTTTGGTGGGCATTTATGTATTACTGATTTTGAATAAGGAGGATATTTTTGAATGCATCCTCTAGAGGTTTCCTGCAGTGTTAATCACAGTAAGTAATTAAACAGGCATATTTTCTGATTAACGTTTACCATTGCAATTAGCACAAGTCTGTGCCCTTCGAGATGGATGCCTTGTGGCTAAGTTCAACAGTATTGCACATCAAAAGAACCTTCTCTTGGAATAATACAGTGCTAAAAGAATCCAAAGGCCTTTTAATTTAACTAAGTCTGATTTTATGGAAATTGCTATTGAGGGGCATCTGTTAATATCCTATCCTTTCACAATAAATAAAACATACCCTTTCACAGAGTAAAAAAATCATGTGCTGGAAAAGCCAGTCTTTTTCCATCCATATGTCTCACTCAGAAATCTATTCCTGCTGCCTGATATTTTCAGAGAAGGCTGATTCCTACTCCTGTTCCTGAAAGTTGGCCTGATGGGGGCATCCCTCAGCCTCTTGAGGTTCTGGAAATGTAGAGGGAGTGTTTATTTATACCTTCTCACAGACTGAGGCTTAAATCTATATTTAGACAGCATAATCTGTAGTTCTTAATAGCTTTGACCACTCATTTAGACTTCTAAATAGAGCTGGTGAGTCTCAGTTTTAGATTCTCTTAACTGAAATGTTCAACAAAAATCTTTGAAGTAACATGGAGATCTTTTCTTCTCTCATACTAATGGCAACCATGGGAGCTGTGGTTGATGGCACTGAACAGCCCTTGCCACATTTGCAGAGCAGCTATCCTCTTCTTTCCAGAGTTTCATGGACCTGAAAAAAATATTGGTTTGATTTGAGTAGTCTTGCTTCATGCTGGTGTTTGTATTGCAAAGTGATGCAAACACAGCCTTCATATACAGCAATAGCACTGAGCTTTGGGATAAGCACTGCAGGGGCACTGGTGTTCTACCTTGGATCAGGAGTCACTTCTGCAGCAAATCCCCTGATCATCCCCATGTACTGTGGGATGGCCTGTTCCTCACATAGCTCACAGGGTGGACTTCCTTCAGAGGAAAATGTGTCTTGGGAGCACACCTAGTGTGCCTGGGTACCAATAGGCAGTCCCTCCCTGCAACCAGGCTAGAACAAAACCCCAGAAACACTGAATGTGTGGAAGTGGGCTCCTCAGAACCAGCTGGTTCATTGCACAGATTGTACAGATCCACTTGCTCAAGTTAACGCAGCCCAAGTTGTCTTTAACACAATTATTGAAACAAACATTTAAGATTGAGTCCAACTGTTAACCCAGCACTGCCAAGTCCATCACAAAACCATGTCACTTAAGTGCCACATCTAAAAATAATCTGCAATAGCTTGGGCTCTTTACAGGTTTGCCTACTTAGACTCCTAAATATATCTGGTGAGCCTTAACTGCTCTTGTGATTGAACAGTTCAGCTGCATTCCTTTTGGGTCCAGCTTCTGGATATTTGGCCCACATGCTCTGTTCACTGCAATCTATGCATTAGGAAAGACTTGAGAAGCTACCACAGCCAGAGGGGAAAAAAAAAAAAAAACAAAAAAAAAAAACAAAAAAAAAAAAAACCAAAACAACCCAGCAAAGCATAGTCTTCTGTGAGAAGTGGCATTTTAACTCCCTTCATGACTGTTAAGAAGGAGTGTTTCTTCCAGGTCCTGGCCCAAGAGATATGAGAGCTTTCATTTAGTCATATATCTGCTTTTATTTTATGTGTACCAGAAAAACTAGTACCCTTCAAAATGCAGCATGCCTTTTAGGAAAAAACAACAGCATCAGCAATTGCTAAGTGGCACTGTTTGTTGAGCTGGCTACATGGCACTGCTGGTAATCAGCACAAGGATTTGATGTTTGAAATGTGCACTTCCCGTAAGTCTCTCTACAGCCTGGCTAAGATGATGGCATTCCTGGCCTGTATTGCAAGTTATTCCTTCTATTTATCCTGCCAGTGTCATGGCCATGACAAACAGAAACTCTCTCACTGTGTGCTTACAGAATGCCTGATGTTTTTATGCAGAACAGTTATTGTCCAAGGCTAATTCCAGGCAAAGCTTTGTATAGTAGAGGTCAAGTAACTAAAATAGAGGCTGAACCAGCTAGCTGTTAATGGGTTTAGTTTTGGTATTAATCATCCCTTCATTATTGGAAGCTCTGAATAGATGCCAGACTTTCTGAGACCATGTGACTGAAAAAAGCCAAATGTCAAAACTCTCCATACAATTTTTATTTCTTCTTACCTCTGCAGGTGTAGAGCACAGGCAACATGTACTTCTGTCTAATCTCATTTATTCAAAGTTTTCAAATAGCTAGTCAGATACTCTTCAGCCATCAGTGCCTTCCTATAAAATAGATCTTGACAAAACTCATAACAGGTGGACTCAGGTCATGTACTAAGTAGCAGGGTTTATCTGATACTTAATTCATCTGACTTTTGCATGAAGTTAAGTAAACCAGGGTAGAATTTCTATCATCTGATGGGATTTAAGTACAAAAAAAATCCATGTAATGCAGAACAGAAAAGCTGATGTGAGTCTAAGCTCCACCAAAGCCATGGGCTGCTTTGCTTTTGGTTTCAGGTCCACTCCTAATTAAATACTGGAAGAACTCTCTGTACAGCAAAATGATGAAAATTTGTCCCCAGCTTCCCAGTGACATGGTCTGTGAATTTCACTAGCATTTCTTTGCCCCTTTCTTGCTGGCAATGGGATACATTCTGGGTAGGAGAAGAGTGAGCTTGATAATGTGTTTGAGATGGGTTGTGAAAAACAGAAATTAAGACAAGGAGGTGTTTATCAGCTAATATACATGCCCCAAGTTTATTGATGTGACATTAATGACGAGAGGTACTCTGAAGCACACTCTGGGATACTCTTAGTCATCTTCCCCCACAGACTGAGGAGGACAAAGAGATGGGCATCCTAGATTAGTCATGCAGGGAAATTCATCTGATCTACAAGTCAGAGGTTCAAGTCCAAGCTGCTGACAAGGTTCTTCTTATACACACTGTCTTTGATATCTATTTTGGCAGATGGTGACTACTGCTCCAGAGGGGTCCTTTTCTCCCCAGTGACCAAAAGCTGGGAGCTTAGACCTCTAACTAAAACACAGATCACTAGACATGCAACGTTTGGGTGAGGATTCCCTCCTGTAGTCAAAGACAGGGGACTAGGGCACAGTGGACAGCCCTGTCTTTCTGCAGCCACACATCACTTTATTACCAACTCTCAGTAAACAAACCTGCACATGACTGTGCCCTTCCTGAATGATCTCGTGGCCTTATGTAGCACTACTGTCTGTTCAGACACAACCTATATTCACGGTGAGCTTCTCTTGGGAATGCAGTCCAAGGATAGGCTACCACGCCCTGAGTAAGGGTGATCTATGTGCCATGCCTCTAGCCTTTACTCCCCAATCAGCCAGCTGTTTATATGTGCTTCCTAACTTCTTTTGCTGTTTCTGGATTCAGTTCAACATCATTGCAACTGCCTCCTCTCCTGTGCCTAGTTCAACACTTAGCTGCCTTTATTTTATAGGCTCTCTATCCTGTACACATTTCAGCCCAGTTCCCCAGCTGTATTTATAATATATACTGGCCTCTTTCAAATATAACCATGTGAGGGTTGACCATTTCTCTTATTTTTGATATTTCCAGATCAAGTCCAGGGTAAAATCCTATATTTTAGGCCTCAAGAAGCGTCCATGGACAATATATGGAATATGCATGAGTGGCGTCCTTTCCACCATTTCTGTTACAATGGTGATCTCCACCATCATGTACTGGAAAAGTGTGAAAAGATCCAAGCTCCACCCGCAGGGCAAAATCCGCAAAATTATACGGGGACCTCCAAGACGCACAGTGTGCTAAGCTGGAAAGTGAACTGGCCGTTCATTTGTCCTTAATATGCCATATGTAGCTTATGTCATTGCTGATTTCTTTTCTTTCTATAAACAAAGCTCTTTAGCTCTACTTATCTCCCCTACCTCAAAGAGTTTTGTTATGTCTGTAAAAGAGTACTTGAAAACAGAATGCAGCACATATCTGCTAACTACTCATTTGTACACTGACATTTTATAAGCAGAAGCTTTCTCCTAATCCTTTTCAATGCCATGCTCAGTAATTGAGCCAATTATTTTCTTGTTCCATTCTTGCAAGTTAAACACTATGGTGACATGCAGGAATCTGCCCTAATTTGGTGGCAGTGCTTCTGTAGGCTTTGTGTTCAAGTCATCTACCTCACAATACTATAATGTTTACCCAGTCTCCAGCCCCATCTAAATTCTCCACCACTCGACTGGACTGGCTGTGTGACTCTCATATTTTTTTTAAAGACAACTTCCATCAATCAGCTCTACTTGTAACATATTTTGGACAAATGAAATTTCTGGGTCACTGTCTGTCCCCTAGAGTAAGTCACGTGTTTTCTTTGTACTCCTTTACAGACTCTCCACAAAGGGCCTATGGCCGCCTTTTTGATGCAAACTAAAGATAACCCCATGAAAGCCTTAGGAGTGCTAGCTGGTGTCATGGGCATAATGGTGCTGATAACTATCATGATCTCTACTGCCATGTTCTGGCGCAACAAGCGGTCCAACAAAGTCATGCCGGTGAGAAGGATCATAAAAAAGAGGCAGATGCCGCCATCCCGGACAGTCAGGATGGAGTGGCTGAAGTTCAAGAGGCCCAGCAACGCTGCAGAGAAGTTTGTCGTTGAGGAGGACGTGAAGAGCCTACACAATGAGAACAGCAACAATAACGTCCAGGTTGTCCCCGTGCCGCCAGCAGCCCCCCTGCCCCCGCCACCCCCTGCCCTGGCTCCCCGGGGCGATGCCCCAGGGTGGCGGGTGCCAACCGTGTCCGGGTCCCTAACCCCCAAGCATATTATCAAGCCACAGAAGAAGAAAGGTCACAGCAGCACCCACAATGCTCTCGTGTCAGAACTCAAAATGAGGTTTGAGAAGAGGAATGCAGCTTTTGGGGAGCCCCACATCTAGGTGCTCTCAGCAGCCCCCAGAGACTGGAGACTGTGGCTGGGCATGGATATTTTTACTTGCTGTCTCTTCCCTGTGTCTGTCAGCACCCTGTGAACCAGAGCAGCTGCTCGCTGTGATAGCCACCCCTCACCTTCTGCAAGTACCATCGCGACTGCGGCTCCCTCGGCCGTGTCCCGTGGGCCCTCCCTGCAGCCACGTCTGACCACGGTGCTGAGTGCACCGGCCACAGCTTCCCCAGGTGGACAGGGACTCGGGCTGCCCCTGGTTTGAAGGTCTCTACCCAGAGCTTGGGTTTGCAAACAAATGCTCTGCAGCCAAGGCCCTGGTGGATGCTTCTTCTGACCTGGCCTGGCAGGTGGGTTTGAGGTGTCTGAAAATCCATCACTTCAAATCCCAGACCCATTTTTGAAGACGTTGGCCTGGCTGTGGCAGCAGCACTGAGTCAAGGTGCAGGTCTCCTACAGCAGTGACACTGCCCTGTCCTGTGCACAGTGTGCTATGCAACAGCTGGCGGAGCGATGTGCTCGTGGCCTGAGTACCTTCATTCCCAAAAGGCAAGCGGGCACGCTTGGAGAAGTTCTTTGTTTTCCTGCAGCTTACGCTGGGTTTTGCCAGAGCACATTGCCATGATGCTGTGCTTTGCTTCTGCCCTGGACTTGCCTGCCGGGAAGGGATGGGATGGGCACCTCAGCCTTCCCTGGACCAGCAGGGGCAAGATTTGAGCACAGAAGTTCAATAGCAACACTCAGCACTGCCTCCTGAGACTGCGCCCCAAAAGAGCGGGAGCCCAGAAGGAGAAGGACATGAATAAAAACACTGGGAAGACAAGGTAAAACTGAGAGGCAAATGATAAGCAGAAGACAGAGACAAGTGCTGGAAAGTTGCATATGTTGGTCAGGGAAGTGTCTGGAAAGGTCATATGGTGTTGTACACTGCTAGCAGTAAGTGTCAAGGAATATATTTCATCACCTCTCCTGGCTTATTGCAGGGACTGGTGTGTGCAAAAGGAGTTTTCCATAAAATATTCAGGTATTTCATATCAGTATTTTTGAGTGAATCACACAACAGTTGATGGGGGAGGACTGGCAGGGCAGCTGACACGTTTTTTTTCCTGTTACATGACAGTAAAAAGGACCCAAGAGCAGAGCACTTTTTTCACTGGATCTACCCCACAGACTCCCCCTCAGGTTGGTTTCTGAGATGTTTTTAGCTGTTTCCCATCCCCTGGGGAGAAGGCAGCACCAACCAAGCTGGCTGGGGAGCAGCACCCTGCACCCTCTTTCTGAGACCCAACTCTGCAGGGAAGCTGTGCTGTCAGGGTACCAGGAACATCAAGGTGGGGAGCACACCATGTTAATTCAAGGGGTTCATGAGAGGTCTCCAGCTGTCATTTCGGTTGAACCAGCAGACCTGGCCCTCAGGATCTCCTCTCACTCCAGTAGCTGAAATAATTCCCCTTTTTGCACCAGGACTTCCTCAGTTTAGAGGATGGCTGGTTGACTATGAAATTATGCACTTACAAGGAAAATCTTGTATTTTTTAACTTCAGTTCAACCTACCTAGAAGCCAATAGTGCTCGCTGCTCATGTCAGCAGGAGCTGAGCCAGCAGCTGTAGCCAAGAGGTGCAGGAGAGTCCCAGCTGGGAGCCATGGCAGGAGCACAGCTCCCAGAGCCTCTCCTGTCACATCTCTCATTTTCTCTACTGTTTTCTTGCTTATCCCTCCTCCTGGGGCACTGTGATGTGAGGCCAAGTTCTCACCTGTCCAGTCCCCTCGTCCTTGTCCCCTGGCCATAAGCTGGCTGGAGGGAGGGGACATGCAGCTCCTGACCCCAGTCCTGTTGCCCTGTGCAAGCACCTGCCTTCTGCTGGCTGTTTCCACAGGTTCTGCAATGTTCCCCCAAGTTCCTGATTTATTCCCCATTTCACTGTCTTCCCAGTGTTGTGTTATTGCCAGTATTCAGTGTTCATTCTCTAATGAGGAAAGCCTATAAAGACCATTCAATTAAGTCAGATTTAACAGGAATTACAGGCTTATAGTCTTAGAGATTATATTTAAGAGGCAATAAAGATGTTTTATTAATATGTTGCGAGACTCTTTCCCAGTTACTCTGTATTTCAACTTCAAGGGTTTTTTTAATAAATAAATTTTTTAAAAATCTGCAAAAGGTGCTTCTGTGTGCTTCTGCTGGCAACGATGCCTTGTGCTCACCTGTTACATCACCAGACAGCCACAGGCAGCCAGGCCACTTTTTAGGATGGCCAAACAGACCCTTCTGTGGGCTGTGAGTCAGGAGAGGGGCTGTGTGGTTTTTGGACAACACCAGGCTGGAAGGAGGGGAGGTGAGAAGCTGGATGCCATTGGCACAGGCCATGGGCAGGGTCACAGAGAGCCCCTGGCTGAGCTCCCATGGTACAGCTCACTGCAGCATGATCCCAGGGCATGGAGGTTCAGTCTGATGCCAGTGGCCAGTGTCTGTGATTTGTTATGAACTTCCTCCACAAGTGGTCAGGGGATGTTTTGTCTTGCCCTGGCTGTTTCCTCACTGTGGTGCAGCAGCTCTCTCCAGTCTCTGCAGTTGTGCTGTTGTCCCTCCCTGCTCACTGGGGTGGAAGAAGGACGGTCATTACTGACAGTACTTTGTTATTTACTCCCCCTCACCACGGCCCCACATTGGTCTTCAACCAGCATCAGCTCATGCCTCACTCTGTACTAGCTGTGTCTGAGGGTGGCTTTCTCAGGACAAGGTTTTCCTGCTTGGCCAGCTGCTGCTGCCCCTTCTTCACCACTTCAGACCCCAGTGATTTGTACTGAAGCTGCCTGGCCTCCTCCATCCCAGCAGCCAAACCCCAGAGCTCCTTGGAATCCAGGTTTCTTCGCAATTTGTAACTGTAAAAGGCCAGAGATGAAGCAGAGGACCTCTGTGTATTCTGAAAACCTGTCGTGTTTATTCCTTTGACACTAAAAGACTGACAAGAGTAGGAAGTCCTGTGAAGTATTAACAGCGAGAGTCATCAGTGACAAAACAGAGCTCTGTTCAAAGCAGTGCAGTACAGTACAGCAGAAGGAGGTGCTGGGAGAGGAATCATAGGCCCTGAGGAGAGACAGCATGGAAAACACACACCAAAAACCAAAATACAATTAGAAAGCCAAGCTACCACAGCATGAAGTTCCCAACAGCTGGGGTGTCTACTCTAGATTTTTCTTTTCGAGATGATCTATAACACATATAACAAGGGCTGTGGGGCTGTGGGCCACATGCTTTGGTTGTGCTGGAAAGCATGAGGTCAAAAAAGAAAAATAGTAAGTCACATGTCCTCAGACCTCTGAGAATCACAGCACTGAGCTGCTTCACAAGCAGGAGGCAGTTGTTTTTACATGCATCCTTGGGGGGTTTTTTTTGCCTCTAGCAAAGAGGTGAGCTTTGGTTTCAAAGCAGCAGGATGGGCAGGCACCTGTTTGCACTTAGGGAATGTGCCTGGCTTACATCTTCAGCTCCCAACCCTCTCTGCTCCACTATGTTCTCTGCCCCTGTCCACTTATCCCACTAGCCTGGTTCAAGCATTTGCACTTTTCCTGTTTGTGGTACAACCAAAGCTGTGAATCTCTTAGGGCTGCGTAAACCTTAAGGAGGAGTAAGAAATTAAAAAATAAAAATAAAAAAGGAAAAATCAAAACAAACAAAAAATCCCACCCCCTAACCAACAGCTCTGGTCAAAAAAAAAATTCTCTTCAACTAAAACAAAATCTCTTCACCATGTTGACCCAATCCTCCCCACCATTTGCTGTTGCTGGGCTGTGATGGCAGGTGTGCCCAGCTTCCCGGTCGGTTCCTAGCCCTGACACACAGGAGAACCCGGCACCGAGACTGGACAGAGCTGCGGACACTAATACTTAAAGACGCACCTGTGCGGGTGAGTGAGGGGACACTTCTGCCTTTGGCCACACGCATTGCTATTGGTTCGGGGGTTGCTTTTTGTTAGTGCTGCTTTTCTCGGTGTGTCGGTGAGCGCTGCCCCATGGCAGTGCTGCAGGGGCAGCCCGGGCCCTCCTCCCCAGGCGAGCCGGGGTGCGGACCGGGCCCGCACGACCCTGGCGCCGTCCTTCGGGACAGCCGGACGGGCCCGAGCTGCCGCGGAAGGCGCCGCCGGCCTAGTAGAGGTCGGCGCTGTTCCTGTGGGGCGGCCGGGCCTTGCCGGGCTCGGGGCGGTCCGGGGGCCGCCGTGCGCCGCCGTCCGAGCGGCAGAGCCCGTCCTCGCTGCCGGCGGGCAGGCTGTCCAGCGTGCTCTCCTTGCTGCCCGCCGCCTGCGCCGGGCCCCCGCGGCGGCGGCGCGGGCAGGCGGCGGGGCAGCGCGCCAGGCAGCCGGGCAGCGCCTCGGCCGTGCAGGCGTACATGCCGGCCGGCACGGCCAGCACCATGGCGCACACGATGACCACGATGTGGATGAGCTTCTCGCGCTGCTCCATCTGGCTGACGTCGCTGCCCGTGACGAAGACGACGCACTGGCCCTTGCGGGGAGCCTGGTTGCGCACGGCCACGCACACCTCGTACTTGGTGGCGGGCAGCAGGTCGGTCACCGAGTAGGTGTTGACGCCGGGCCCGATGTAGATGGTGTCCTTGTGGGCGGCGTCGTAGCGGCCCACGAGGAGGGTGTACCAGGTCTCGCCCGGCTCGGCCGCCGCCGCCGCGGCCGCGAACCACTCCAGGGTGATGCCGTAGACCGTCTGCTTGGCGATGCGCACCTCCACGTGCGCGCCCGGCTCCGCCGCGGCCGCGGGCGCCCAGCCCCGGGGCGTGGTGGACGCCCACGGGGCCACCACGCGGAGGCTGATGGCCACCGAGGCGTTGCCCAAGAAGTTGGCGGCTGTGCAGGTGTAGTTGCCGGCGTCCGCCGGCCGTGCCGCCGGGATCAGCAGCTCCGAGCGGACGGTGTCCTCGCTGATGGGCTCCGTGGACACTGCGGGCAGAGGTGAGTGGGTCAGCGGGGAGACACCGTGCCCGTGGCCGGTCTGCGACGGGACCCGCCCTGCCCAGGGACAAAGGAAGGGGGGCACAGGAATGTGCCAAACCTCACACAGCTGACAGCAAAGCGTTGTCTGTCCGAAAGGCAATAAACGCATTGGGACACGCAGGCATGGGAAACATGGTGCGTGTCCGACCCCTGACCCTGTACTGCTGCTGTGGGCAGAGGCCGAGCTGCCCATTGCCGGCAGCCTTCTTAGGGCAAACCCGGAGAGGCGCTGAGCGGGCACACCTACATTTTGGACACATGCCCCATCCTGTGTTAGGATTAAAAATGTCAATTTCAAGAGGCTCAGACCGAAATAGGTGTAGGAAGGTAGAAAATGTTGGGCTGGAAGTGAAATGCAGTTTTAAGAACAGTGTGAAACCCTGTCATCTACCCAAACAGAGGTGTGTGGCTGTGGTTGAGAAGAAACTGTATGTAATTAATCAGCATGTGCTTGTGGAAAGACACACAGGTGCTGCTACAGCACTGCAATCGAAGCAAATATCAGCCCAGGATTAAGGGCTAATACTATCCTATTTAGTTGGCTGGCTTATTAGGGACACTGAACCTGTGCGCTGGCTGCCTGTATGTCTTACTTTACCTGATGAAAATAGCAACTTGTCCTATTGAAGGCTCTTAGTAAAAATAAACATGAGGGAGGATGGATTGGGAGGAAGAGGAAAAGGTCTTATATTACAACATCTTTGCTAAAGAATGTAAATAAGCAAGACTTCAGGTAAACAACAACCTCTGTTTCAGTTCATTCCGAACATGAATGGACACAGACAGAAACAGGGCTGAACAGTTTTGTAGCTTGTGTTCTATTTCTTGAGGGAATTCATGGGAATAGTGTAGGAACATACAAGTCTGTGTATAAGGGTGTGGACTCATACAAATATATCTACATGTACATATAATTATACAAAATGTGTGTATATATATATATAGTATATGACAAATTGTGTAGTGGTTTATATATAGTAAATATGCATGCATATTTCGATAACTACATTTTTATTAAATATGTACAACTAATATAGGATTAGTAGCTCCTACAATCATGTATCATGAGGAAAGAGCTGCTTCTTAAAATCCACAAATACGATAATTGTCTAAAAATGAGGCCATGCTCCTTTTATCTTTGACTGATATCCTGCATGAAGCAGTTCTTCTTATGCTGGTCAGATGTGCTTAGATGCACAGGATGATTGAGATAATTTGGATTACTGCCACCACAATAATTGTGGCGTTCTAAAGGGGCTGGGTTGCTGTGGTGACTGTGATGGCCTGCAGACCTATGTAAGTAGAATAGCACAGCATAAATTTTTAATTAAAAAGAAAAAAAAAGAATAAGAAAAAGCTTTGCTTACCATTAAATGCCCTTAAAAGTTTGAGTGCATAGGTCCACCAGACAGCTGGGGAAGGGCTGGCTTGCACAAAGCAGGTCAGGGTGATGTTTAACCCTGCTGGGACTGTCAGGTTGGTGTCAAGGGCTGAGGTCAGGGGCTTCGTGCAGCTGTTAAGCTCCACTTCGTGAAAAAACTTCCCTGTCCTGAATTTTGGGCCTGAGCAAGTTAAATAGGAATTCATCAGAATAATAGGTGGGCCCACAGACTTGATAAACTGGACAAATCCCCGCAGGCGACAGTCGCAAATCCAGGGGTTGTCATGGAGGGCCAGGACAGCATTGGAAATAGCTTCTAGTGGCCCCTCCGTCCTCTGGCTTCTCTGGTACACGGGCCAGTTGTAGAAGACATCCCTGGATATGATGGTAAGCTGATTTGAGGATAGATCTAAATAGGTCAGGTTGGGCAGATAGCGCAGTGCGTGTTCTGGAAGGACATCCAGCCGGTTGTGCTTCAGATCCAGGATTTTCAGAGTCGGGGTGTCTTGAAATGCTGTCCATGGCACCGAACTTAATTTGTTCCCTTGCAAGCGCAGCTCCTTCAGGGCTGGCAGATATTCCAGGCTCTTGATGTGCATCACTGTGATGTTGTTAAAATTGAGCCACAGATACTCCAAGGCACTAACATTCTCAAAAGACCCACGAGGCAATTCTGTTAGGTGAGAATTTTCTATTCTGATTTTCCGGATGTCCTGAGGGATGTTTGCAGGGATCTGCCTCAGCAGTGCTGACATGCAGAGCAAACTCCTAGGG